GTTCTCAGAAAGTTAATTCCATATAAACGCAGTTCTATTAATGAAAGAGTTGTAAAACAGTGAAGTTCGAAGTGTACTGAGTTGAACCTCAAAACGATGAGCAGCCACAGGTCGCGTATTTCTGATGTGTTCCGCTCTTGGTAGAATCAAATGTGCAAAGTCACTTGAACACCTCGAGTGAAAGTATCTATAAAAGAGAAACAAATCTCCAACCTTTTCTCGATGTTGCAGACTATCAAGATTGCAAGTGATGTTCGTGTCTCTAATCAAGCGAATGGCTCTTTTCTGGATAGAATCCAACAGCTTCAGGGTATGCTTAGGAACGGAGCTCCATACATGAGAACAATACTCCAAAGAAGGTCTGATCTGAGATTTATAAAACAATAAAAGTTGTTGGTGTGTTCAGTTTTCTGGTTCGGAACAGTGTTCCAAGCTTTTGAGAAGCAGCCTTTGCAATTCCAGCGACATGATTGTGTCAAGACATATTGATGTCCATTTTAACCCCCAACAAACTTGTCGAAGCAGAAAGCGGAATTGTCTGTCTACTTCTCCATCTCTATACAAAAAATGTATAGAGTTCATTTTTAAATCATTTGCTTCCTCCATTTTTTTGGATTTTTTTTGTGTAAAGATGGAGTAGTAAAAAGTAAATCTTTCTTTCCCAAAAACTAATCTTTCCTAAAAATATACCGCTTTCAATTTATTAAAGAAAATTTCAAATTCCATAAATGGTTAAAAAAAATACTCAGGATTCTATTGAAAATAATTGACTTGGGGCCGTTTCCAGTTGAACCGGAAAATATCGACTTCAATTGCTCATACCTCTACTTCAAATTACTCATCTCACAAATATGTTTGTGAAATGACAAATTTGTAGTAGGTTTTTTTCTACTGATATACAGGTGTTTATTAAATATGCGGCAAAAATTCAAAATTTGAGAAACTATTCTTTGGACTACTGTATGGATATTGTATTTATTTTATTGTATTTATTGTACCCGCTCCTGGCATGGGGACGGTTGAAACAAAAACGATTTTTTTTTTAATTTCATATATTTCTGAAAATAGTAACCCGGGAACTATAATGATACAATCATATCGTAGCTAAAGCTTCACATTTGAATTTCACATATCATAATCATCACTTAGTTTGTAAACAACAAGATTCCCTAATCCTTTTTTTGTATCAAGATGGANCTGAACCAATTTATGACATTCATGAACAATCTCAATAGTAACATTCAGTTCACACTCGAAACAGAGATAGAGAAACAGATAAATTTCTTAGACCTGACCATTACACACAATCAGAATAAATTTAAGTTCAATGTTTTTAGAAAACCTAGATATACAGCTAGGGAAATTGATATAATTACACAGATAGGTCATAATAATGGATGCAACGCAGATACTATCCAGATGTTAGTCAGAAAACTAAGCCGTAAATTTACTTCTTGGTTAATATATCCTCTTACATATTTTGGAAAAAGAACAGAGATAATTGCGGGTTTCTTCAGAAAAAACAATGTGGAAGTGGCATTCAGACCACAAGCCAGGTTATCTGATTTCCTTTTCAATTCCAAATATAAGGTGGACAAGTTGGAGAAATCTGGAGATTATAAGCTTAAGTGCCCGGAGTGTGTAATAGTGTAATAATAGTGTAATAGTGTTTATGTGGAACAATGTGGTCGAAATTTCCAAAAACGGTATGCTGAACATGAAAGGTCCTTCATGAAAAAAAATGATTCGACGTTTTCAAACCATTCTTTGGCATGCAACCACAAATTCCCGAATCTAAACGACACGGAAATTTTGCACTATGCAAGGAAGGGTTACACACTCAAATATTTAGAATCGTTGGAAATTCACAAACATAAACATTCCGGGTGCAACCTGTTAAATGATCAAATCGATTATTTAGTTTACTCACCGGTTTTCAAATTAGCACATCCGCATTGTAAATTGTAAATTCAGGTACTCAATCAAGCCAAGTACCTCTGTTATTACTTACAGGGGCGCTACATAAACGCTTATGTAATAAATCATTGTTAGTTTAATGTATAAGTTTGAAAATGTCCTTATAGGTTGAAACTGCAGTAACGTTAGTTACAAATAAAAGAGGTAAAAAACATAGGAAGTTTCAATTCTCTTTTCTTCATAACAAAATTATAAATGATAAATGCTAAATTGTTTCAACCGTACCCAGTCTCCCCTACCTAACTTTTAAGTTAGTCTGGCTAGGTGTTGAAACTGTCAAAACTACCTAAATAATATATATTAAATTCAGCCTTTATACTACAACTCAAATACAGTTACAATTAATTAGGGTTCAAGAGTATCCGGCAAAGATACACCGTAGCTATCTGTTATCTGCCAAAGCTATGATCCCAACTTCCTAGTAGCTCATCGTTCCTGAGTTTTCAGTTTTTATTAAAAAACAAAGATCTGTCGTTAACAGGCTCTTAGACTATAACAATATGATTAGTATATTCTTTTCTCGGTGTCATGAATATTGCGAACAAAAATGAACTCGCTTCTTCGATGTTTAGATTGGTTCGGATTTGAATCAAGTCAACAGTCGAAATATCAGCCTAAAACCTGTATCGATGACATATGTCAGTTATGAAACCTGTAAGTCAAAATTGAAAAGTTTTAAACCCGTACTTCACCAAATCTCCAATAATGACTCACTCAATATTTAGGGTATAATCCAGCTTATCCGAATTTTGCTGAAATATGATCGAATCTTCAAATTCCAGATGACAGGGGAATGCACTTATTTTGTATTTTCAGAAGTTTCAGTTTTAGTTCAGATATATTTATACGTTGATCGACGCAAAATAAAATTAAAATTTACATAAAATATTGTCCTGTTTCTGTGGCTGCAGAGTAGGGAGGGTGAGTGTAGACCCACAGCACTTAGGCCACATGTGACCCATTGTACATCCTCACGAGGAGTTGTCCTCCTAGGTCATCGTCCATCCTGCCCTTTCCAGGAGGGTGGACAGGTCACTGGGAGACATCTCCTTTATATCAGCAGGTGTAGGTCAAGACTCGCCGAACACACACTCTCTTATTGATGATAACTCCGGGCACTCGCACAGGACATGCCTGACAATCTCATCTTCCTGTTCACACATCCTGCATAGAGATGTGTCCACTAGCCCCATATTATGGAGGTGTTTCCTTAGTTGACAGTGGCCAGTTAAAAATTCTACTGTTAGGCGTAGATTTTTCCTGGTCATCGCCGGATATTTCTTCGGCGCCAGCTTCACAGGGTCGCCCAAGGTGATCCTGGCAAGATTACATCCTTTGATTCCATCCCATCTCTTTAAGGATTGAGCATGGGTGTACATTTGACTAGTTCCGCAAGTGTCGAAGTCATCAGACCGTAGGTGTCACTGGGTCCTAAAATTCTTAGTCCAGCCGCTTCCTTGGCTAAAGAGTCGGTAATGCGATTACCTTTACTCCTGTGGTGTACTTTAACCTACCTCAGAATAATGTTATTATCTACCAAGGCTTTGGCTAAATCTTCAATTTAATCATTTAATTAAACAAATGACAGAATAATATCATCAGTATAACTTAGTATCCTAGGAGGCATATCTGGAAAATAGAAAGTGGTATTTTTTTCTGAATTTATAAGATGTTCAGCATGAGTTTTCTTTTCAAAAGAATGATCCGATATTTGATGGAATCGGCCGATACTTGATGAAATTCCATAACGTATTCAAGAAACACTTTATTGTAAGATTAGATAGAAGAGATAGAACATAAAATAAAGCTGTGAATTTAAGGTCAAAACAGAAGTATTCTGAATTAGTCAAGAAAAGTCAACTAGACAGTACTTTCATATTTCTCATGTATTTTTCACTCAGCAATCTTTCTCATAGAAACTAAGATATCTTGGGTTTTGTAAGTCCATTCTGTCCTTTTCAGGAAATGGACAGGTCATTAGGAGACATCTCCTTTATATCGGCAGGTGAAGGCCAAGACTTGCCGAACACACACTCTCTTTGGCAACCTTGAGGTGTCTCACGGCGGCCTTCGTGAAGGTTTAGGAAGGTGCAGCGACATTACTGTCGTTGCGCGGCTTCTTTAACCTTCTTGGGGTTCCTTCCTTGGAGGTGCTCAAGTAAGGGCGCTTTTCTGCAGGGGCAGCCGGTTCCTTGCCTTCATTTAAGGCGGAGCTCTTGACGCCCGCCGCAGGAAGTGCCCTTGCTGTTGGAGGTGGAGTGGGGGAGGTGGAGGGTGCACTTATAGTTATTGCCAATACTGCCTCCGTCGCTCTCTTTCTTCTTTTGGCCTCGGCGCCGCAAATGCGATTACGCCTTGGCCTTTGTATTATATCACGAGGTGATCTGCCATGTCCAGCCTCATTCCGAGCTGTAGATTGGGGTGGATATTTCTGTTCATCCCCAAGCACCGCCATAGATTGAGGTGAGCATTTCTGTCCAGCCTCGGGATTGGTTTTGTTTTTTCTGTGTCAGTTTTATTTTTTTCCATTCATATGTGTTTCCACGAGTAACAGAGGAAGAGTTGATCACTCTAGCAGAGTCCCTCATTACCAAAGGAAGGCTGATTACAATGAGGTTTCGCCTGGTTCCCCAAGGGAATCATTCGTAACCGCATATCACCCTGCGGCCATTCAGCTGTCTGCACGATTCCTTACACCTAAGCTTGGGTAGGCTGGACCACGGTGGCATGTTTTGTAAAGGCTTTTGGGGAGTTTTAGTTCCCTCCACCCTACTTATTTCTGCCACTGACCAGGAGTCCGGCGACCCCGTCCGTAAGGCCACATTGGCTTTCCGGGTAGGGCTCCCACTCTCCTGGCCGTTCCCCTATCCGTCACTTGGGGACGCGCCCGATAGGTAGCCCAATCCACGGGTATTGTCATGTTTATGAAATCGTAGGCCTAATTGTATATCTATCAACTTTCCGACTTCAAGTCTACGACAATGTATTTGTCCGAAACTCTCCAAAAATGTTATAATTGCAAAATGTACCTGATGGCAGAAATATACTATTTCTCTGAGGTAGTAAGAGGTCAATTCTCTGAATTGCTGAAGATAGTTTCTATTTCAAGGGTATACCAAAGAATAATTCCTAACAACATAATTGCCAGACTATCTGGCATATGAGAACATGAATCATCGTGAGAACGAGCTGATGATTAAAAGAGAGAGGAAGGTCTAGAGTGTGCTAGAGAGATGCGTGATTTCTTCTAGAATGATCTATTCTGGTGGGAAGAACGCTCTAAGTGTATTTGCACACATTTTATTAATACATGAGTTACGAAGCAATTGAGGGAAGCGGTTAGTTCCAACGGCGCGACAGTGGTGGGAAGCAAAGTAAGAAAGTGAAGTTACTGTATATAAATATATTGAAATAAGTTCTTTGACTTCTTTTTGTGAGTTTTTGAATAATGATGTTGTTTCATTAACTGAACATCTTAATGAAAAACCCGGTGTCGTAATTCCTAAGCCTTCCTTTTGCTCATGATATTTGAAAACTCTTGTTCTGCCAGTGGATGAGTTATTTAAAATATGTTATCGAGTTTCCGAATTTGAAACGGTAAAATATATTTATTGCCAATATTTATTATATCAATTCTGTTTTCAGACTAGTGAAAGCGTCACCTTAGATTTACTAACTTTCGAAGATCTAGAACTACTGCGGTCGAGGAAAATAACTAAATCAGTGGGTCCCAACAATAATAACAGAAGATATCTAATAATCACATACATTGTTGAGTTTGACAAGTACTTATTTTGACCATTGGTAACTACTTTGAATATCTATCCAACTCATTCTATTTTTAACAGAATCCGATATCCATTACCGCTTGAATATTGCGGCCCGCCCGATCCTCTCATTCTGCAGGCTACCATCAGAAGGTTGGAGGCAGAATTAGCGAGAACAAAGGAAGAATTGACATTGAAGTTGAATAACAGTGATGCAAAAAAGATATATTTTCTACAAAAACGGTGAATATCCTAAATCTATTCTGTTTGAATCGATATTGATAAAAAAATTTAAAGTGATAGGGATTCAGTGTCACTATTTTCATTCGGGTTTGAAGGCCGTATTTATTTGATTCAGGTAGTTTGGAGTGTTAATTCCTGTACCTAGATTAGGTGAATTGTCAATGAGAGTTCACAGCTTCTTCTTTTCTGTTGAAATTATCCTTGTGTTTGTGCGGATCTTTATTGCCTCCCGTACCTTATCCCTGGTTAGGGTAATGAGTTTTCAAACAGAATCCTGTGGTTTTCTTCACTGAGAGCGTGTTTCGCCACAGCTGACTTGTCTGTCTTGTCTAGTCTGCAGATTCTATCATGCTCCTTTGGCCTTGTTCCCGTGGATCTCTTGGTGGTTCAGATGTATACCTTCTCACAAGTGTACGGTATGCGATATACCCCTGATGGTGGGTCTCTTTTGTCTTTAGCCGACCTGAGGTTTTGTTATACGAGTATCTTCCTGGTGGGTTTGAAAATTGTTTTAATGTTGTGTTTCCCCAAGGGTTTTCCAATTCGGTATGTGGCCCTAGGGATATATTAGAATAGGAAAATATTTGAGGAAACACAACATCAAAACGGTTTTCAAACCCACCAAGAAGATACAACAAAGCATGAGGTCGGCTGAAAACAAAAGGAACCCACTATTAACAGCAGGGGTATATCGCATACGTGCACTATGGAATATGGAATCCCATTCTAAGAAGTTGAAGAATGAGAAACATCATGACGGCAGGTAGAAAAGGGCCAACTAATCCAGGTACAAAAATGGGCTTGTTTCATGCTATGGAACATGGTACTGGTTTGCTTTTGGACTGATCGAGTTAGGGGTATATTATACTTATCAAGCTCAATCGGTCCCAAAATCTCTTTATATTTGCAGAAAAAGGAACAAATCGAAAAGCAAGAATTTAAATTGGCCGCGTGTCTGTTGACCAATAAAATTGATCGTGTCTAGAGCGGAGTTGCCAAGTGTATTGGCTTTCAATATTACAGATCTGATGATCCAATTTGACAGTCGCTATTTTTGTTGTTATTGTTGTCAACTCGGTGTGGATAAAACTGTTACAATTGTCTAATTGAAGAACGTTATTTTGTAAAAGGTACGTCTCGGCGGGTGCCTATTTTGCTGCATATTCATTAGTTCATTAGTGTCATTAGTTTACATTTCGAAAAATATTTTTTCAGGTTATTTTTAGATTGATATGTTCTGGAGTAATTCTACATTTCACTGTACATATAATAAATATACCACCTACCGTTTCAATTTTTCATTCTTCATTTTGGTACCAAATGCAAATTTTTCAAGTAAAATTCAACGACCATTTCAAAATCGTCTCTTGGAAAGTTGTCGGGAGTCAGCTTTAACAAAACTAGGCTCAACATTCATTTTCAACCTATTTCAACAAAAATACGAAGTTTGTGGAAACCGTTGACATTAGAAAGAGCACATTGTCGCATTCACTACAGAGAGCGCTGGCTGACTGGATGACAATATGACTAATATACCAGTAAGGTCGAATTTCTTATTTTTGGTGGGTGGCATGAATGCATTATTGATTTATTTTATTAGGGTTCATGGGCATTCCAAAAACATTTGAAAATACAGCTCGTTTATTTCTATTTAGAATCATATTTAGATATAAAAAATGTTTAATGTCTAAACAGGAATAAATCCCAATAACAAGACATATTAATATTATTAACAAGCATGTCACAGTTTATATCTGCCTATATACACACAATACACATACATATATACATACATACATACATACATACACATATTCATGAATACAATACTAATTTAGTAACTAGAAACACCTAAAGCGAGTAAACAAAAAATAAAATAAAATAAACGTTTAGGAGAGTTAAGCAAAAAATTAGGTGGAACACTTGTGTGCAGCAAGCTAGGAGAGTAATTGAAAAAAAGTCAGATATAGAGCTAAAAAGTAAAAACATAGTTTAGATAACTTGTACTATATCAGTTATCAAGACAAATATTATTGTCCATTTTTATATTTAATTCGTGAATTTGAGCGATCTTATTATTATATATTTATTTGTATGCTGGCTTTATTCTAAAAAAAATGAATGAATGATTACAGAAAATTTCAATTGATCGTTCATTTTCTCAGGAAAATGCAGTACCCATATCACATTTTATTGGTTTATTCGGCATTGAAAATGTATGTCATATCGGATCTATTCTGCTTATTTTTGCAACATTGAGTTTCAACTTTTTCTTAGCTGATAGCTCGCGTCGGAACAATTCGTTTTTTCATCGAGTTTACTTTGTGTGTATTTTAAAAGTGTTTTAAAGATATATTTTAATATTAATATGGTGCATTCTTGTGCTGATTTTAATTGTGCGGAAAGGCACAAGAAAACAAAAAGCCCATTGGTTTATAAATGAATTATTTCATATAATGAGTTTAGGTTCCCAAAGGATAACATGATGGGGAAAAAATGGGTGGAAATATTGAAAAGAAAGAACTACAATCCTTCTACTCTTCCAAGACTTTATTGAAATTATTTAAAAAGTGACTATAAATGAAAGGGAGACGAAAATATTGAATTTGATGACACAGTTTTTTATTTCAATTTCAAGTATTCTCCACAAAAAGTATTATCTGGAGTTGATACTGTTGCTGAAAGTATGATACATTATACTTCATTAAATTTTATCATATGATTAATGGTATTACCTCCGAAGCTTTTGTTGGATCAGTTCGAGTACAATCAATTCTGTCTATACTTGACCTCATTCAACCTTCCTCTAAAGTTTTGGAAGATTCAACAGATTACCCAAGCGCGCCTATGACGCTTGATTTTAGTCGTAGCTATATTAGAAAGAGATATGTATGTAGGAATCGTTTTTTTTGTAATAAATTGCAGTTGTACAGATTGTAGAATATGATTGTAGGATTGTAGAATAAATTGAATATTTGAAATGATTCTTCAATCCAGTTTGCTATATTTTTTGATTTTCATGAGTGTATATTATTAAATAATGCATAAAATCATAGTTTAGGTAAATATTTTGTGATCTATCGACTTTGTGTACTGATTTTAGATATAGAACTTATTTCCAAACATGATTTTATTTCATGTGGAGAATTTTCCATTAATTGAAACGTTAACGGATTCATATACACTTACATAATTAAATTGATAATAATAGGCTCCATAAATTTTACGATTTGGCAATGTTGATTATTTCTATTGTTCCTATTGTTCAATCGAACAAGAAGCGGGAATAGGGCCGTGACGTCACCACCCTACCACATTCGATTTTTAATAATTAATTACGGGAAAACTACGGTATTTAGAGAGATGAAACAAAGTGCACTGTTTTTCAATTTACAATTTCTATCAAGTAAACTATAAACAAAAAATCAGGAAACAAACACATTTTCACACCAAACTACATGAATCAACATAAATACGCTTAACGCTTTCTATACTAATATAAATGTGAAAGTTTGTGAGGATGGATGTATGTATGTATGTTTGTGGTACTTGCACGCCTAAACGATTGAACGGATTTAGATGAAACTTTACATCAATACAGCTTATACATCAGAATAACATATAGACTATGATTCACAAAGGTTTTGTGTAATTTTGGTCATAATATAACGATGAGTATTAAGTGAATCGGAAAATGTCTTGCTCCCTGAGAGCTATCTTGGCGTGCGCTGCCTATACTGTTGGAGTTACATGGAGATAATGTACCGTAAGATTGTTTATTTTGAATAGTTCTAAATAAAAGTCCGCGATATCACAAATCTACCTCTTATGTGGTAGCCACTATATGCAAAACACTGAGTCATGAATTCAATTTGATTGGATACTTTTTTTACAATGCAAATTTCAGAATCTACGTCAAATTTTTATGGAAATTGATACACTTGTCGTTTTCAGTATCAATTATATAGATACATTTTGTCTTTTACACTAAGTAATTTCGACGAATCGTTGGAAAGTTATCACGATAAGATTACCTTGACGCAACGCAGTAAGCCATTACGCGTCGCGTCTACTGTAAGACGACGGGGGACGATGCGCGAGGGTAGAGAGGCTTGGCAATGAAGCGCCATCGCCGAAAACGCGACCCGAAAGCGGGCAAATGTCGTTGACGGTTGTGGTGATTTTGCGAATTTCTTTATAGTCAACATAATTCGATTTTAGAAGCTATTCATTACTTAGTGCAGTTGGCATATTTTTTTAGTTACTGTATTTTTAAAGTAAAAATAGCTGTTGCCCGCTCTTATATTAACGTACAGCCGAAGCTGCTGAATCTAGAATCTTGAAATAAGCAGGTAGGTACTTTGTATAGCGCAAATAAGCATCAAGAAAGGGTATCAGGAATTTCCACCGCCAAGGGTGAAAAACAGGGGTTCAAAGATTGCATTGAATTTCGTCAGTTTTGAAGTTGGAAACCTGAAGTTCTGGGTGGATGAAAAAATATTGTAACTATTTTGTAGTTACAATATGATATGTGATATGTTACGAAACTCAATGTGACGAACCAAATTCTACACGGGCGAAACCGCGGGCAACAACTAGTCAGCGATAAACCTAAGATATATAAACCTCTGAACACAAGACAAGACAAGTTTTATTTCCCAAGAAACTACATTCATGAATATACATAATTCAGTTGGAAATGGCAAGTTTTGCTCGAAGAGAATAGGAGAAAAAAAGGTTTGATTATTTTTTTGGTCATATGAAAGTTTGGAAAAATATCATATTGTTATTTTTCCCCCGTGGGTACATCAATAATTGACTACAATGAATAATCAAACTTAACTTCATTTCACTTTAAATTTTTCTATTATTTGAATGTCTATCGCCTTACTAGATCACTTCGCGTACCGCACTGTAGCTTCCACTTGACTGTCTCGATATGCCCGCCGCCAGCGCTTAAATATCTTAATCGAACATCGTTGAATTTTCGTCGAAGTTCTTGCTGCTTCTCGCGCGGCAGGGAACATTGGGCATTCCCACACTCTTAGCTATGTCACGTTTGGTTTGTGGTTACCAGTGGCGGCCGGCGTTACTTTCTTTCAGGCATGATATACAACAATATTGAAATATTTACTCGATGATAGAATCTATTTAAAAGAGTCGTCAAAAAATTCATGCAGATAATAGTACCTACACTTTAGTTTGTAGGAGTTTTCTCCATTTTTTTAAATTATACATTTGAATTAAATCGAAAAGCACATCACAAAGAGCGTTGAGAACAATATACACTTTACCAGTTGGAGACTTGTAGGTACAAATAACAATTAATATTTTTTCAATTACTCTTCGCTGTACAATATTCGAATTCTTTTTCAATATTTCTTACCTTCAAGTTTTCAACTTCAATAAATTCCAAACTTTTCTGGCTGTTGATCATGATTCCACCATGAATCACTATTCTTCTATAGTAATTGAAAACTTAAAATTATTCACATTCGAACTAGACACTTCATTTTTTTCCCCAGATTTCAGTAATGCACAAAACACTTATATTTCCTAGATTACGGTCACAATCCTCAAATATTGCCCTAATAAAGTCCGTTTTATTTTTTATGCAGTGCATATTCTGGTGCATTATGGTGAAGTTATCCTCTGCTTGGCCTAGCTATTTACTTTTCTGACTTCCACTCCACTAGCCACTCGCGACGTCAGGAAGAAATTCCAAAAATCGACCGCTTTCAAACCCGAATAAAAATAGTACACTAAAAATCTTGGCCGCGAAAGCCCTAACCATTTTGTCAGTAATAAAGATTGTCTGATATAAGTTGGGAGTCTTTTTTTATAACTAAAATCAATTATATTTATATACTTATAAGATTTGGATAGCAAATGGAACTTGAAATATTTTAACATACTTTTAGCGTTGATGAATTGACCGAAGAGAACATTCAACTTCAGGAGGAAAACCGACATCTGACAAAAATTGTAGAAAAGAAACCGAAAGTACAAGTTTTATCTCTACAAAAAGCTGTTAGCAATCTAGAAAAATGTGTGGTTAGTGAAAGAAACTCTCACCATGAATTGGTTGAAAAACTAAGAAGCGACAAGGTACAACTCGCTAAGGAATTGGAAAAAATGAAAGCATCTGAACGTTGTTTGAAGGCGAAATTGACCAGAGTTAATCATAGTTCGAGGTGAGAGCTTTCCTCAAAATATTCTTCAATTTCCGTAGTAATTTTTCCAACTAGCTTGTGGTATTTCCAAAATACCCAATCATCTGAAGGAACAATTCGTTCACGTTCTCAACTCCCTACACTGTAGATGATTTGATTTATAGCCAGTCTTCAAGTATGCCCACTGACTATATGTAAAGAGTTTTCTTTCCTTATACGAGGAATTGGGCAAATTTCGGATATGCAGTTGGTTACCCCGTTCACAGGCAGATGGGGCGATGACAAACCTGTTGTTTTTAGAGGAATGATACAGCATATGCAGGAATAACTTTAGTGAGGAATCCTGCACTGACACCTGTGTCGGATATTATCCAACGCCTTTCGTGGTGTTAGCCAGAGGAGTAGTTGTTTTCTGATAGGTTTCAGTCCATTAACCTACAGTGTAGGAAGTTAAGACTGGCGTGAAGGAATTATTCCTTTAGATGATTTGATTTATAGTCATTCTTCAAGTATGTTCACTGACTATATGTGAAAACATCTTATTATCAAAATATTTTATATATCCCACACATTTTTATTAATGCGAATTAGTCAAACTTTCTTTTTGTTTATGTCTATATTGTTCTTTTTTCCCTAGTATAAACATTGTATGTTTCTTGGGAAATACATTTTTATTATTATTCTCATACGGTCTACTGCTGTTGGCTTTCTATTTAGGGATTCGCAAATTGTTGGTAGATACCAATTTTGAGTTATTTCTTTGATTTGGTAAGTATAAACCATTTGCAGTATCATTTACATATCAAAAACGTGTATTAGTGTAACACTCTATCAAATTAAATATTTGCAAGCAAAAGCCGTTGAGGGTGAAGAATGAACTTTAAGATATTTTTACCAGTAATTAGTTAGTTTATATCCAGAAAGATTATGAGAAAGTATCGAGTATTCTTAGAGAAATGTTTTTTTTACCAAATATTGGAGACAATGATTGATGGTTTTTCGAAGAGTTCTATTTTCAACACGAAAAAAACTCTTTTCGAAAATATTGGCAGGAAAACAGATGTTCTTAATAAACTTTTTTGAACAATATTTTCATTTATAATACAAGACTGGATGGGGTTTTATAACTTATTCTTTCACTTGACTTAGGCATATTCGAAAGAATACCTACTTATTTCGAAAATTAGTTGCATAGACTATTGAACATCATCAATTCCCTGTTTCAAAAGCAAAAGGAGCCACGTATATGACTAATTTTGTATTCTTAAAAATTTACATTGGGTGCTTTATTGAAAACTTGCCATCATCCCATAAATTGACGTTCAACCTTTTATGGAATTTGCAGCAGTTCCGACCTAGCCCACTGTTTTGGAAAGTACCACAGATTGATAACTGTCATAACAATTGAATAAACAATAGTAATTTACCATAAAACCAAGTAATTATAAATCAATATGATTAGAGAATGTGTAAATATTGTTGAATAATTTGTGTCTATTTGTCGTATAAAAATGTTGTTTCTGTAGAACAATGTCAATATTGAAAATGATTCATAACAATAAAAGATTATGTACAAATATAATTTCTAAGACTGTTTGGAAGCTCGTTTAATCTTTGTAAGCATGTGTGCCTACAGTGAATTCATTAGATTAGTAAAAACAATACATTGAAAGTGTTTTCATCAACCGGTGTAAAATATATTGACGTTCCCAATACACTATTTTCATTCGAAAACTGTTCACCCGAGTGTCACAGAAACAGAACTTTTTTATCGGTGGATAAGTTGTTGAAATCTAACGTTTGAAACCCAAATACAGTATCCCATTTATCATACGACACCATCCTGTTCTCTATACAGTGGCTTACCCTACTCTTACTCAGTGTCTTGGATCTAAAATTAAGTATATACGAGCAGGGTTAGCGATTGAATAGAGAAGTGGATGGTGTTGGATGAGTCATCGTGCTCAGATTATAGGCGAAGTTCAGAGACTGATTGGAAAGGTTACATATAGAGACACTTAAAAAGTCCCTCTGCAGGGGAGTCGCAATCATAAGAGGTACAGAAAGTCAGGAGGAGATTATCGAACTGGTAAACGAGGTAACAAAACTGCCCCGAAAAAACCAAACATTATAGAGGAAAAAACCGTCTGGTCGAATCAACTCGTCTAAAAGTTAATGGTGGAGTCAACTCCTCGAAAAGTTAAGAATCAAGGTGCAAAGGCTGTTTCATATAGTCAAAGAAACCAACTGAAACACGTATAGTATAAAGCTAACGCAGTATAACAAAGAAACCCCAAAGGCAAAACGTGACTCATGAAGGCGGTTCTGTTCAGAGGTGGTGGAAATACCTATTTTTTAGGTCGAGGCTTTGAGCGGAATTAGGTCTCTCCCAATAAGGTATAGAAGATCTATAGCATGGAATTGGATACTAGCCGCTAAAACCACCAGACAGACGGGATCGGATAGCGATCTGAAAAGTTCGTCCATACAAATCACCAGGAATAAATGAAATCTAACCGGACCTGCTACAAAAAGGATTTGATCTGAATGGGACTCTCAGAACTTTTCTAGCCTTTTCTGGCTTGCCCAAATAGCTGAAGTACTAGACCAGAAGTTCAAGTCATTCAGACCTATTACTCTAATGTACATTCATAGAAAACCATAAAAAGGCTGCTATATGACAGACGAGACGCTCATGCAATGTATAATCTTTTTTTGAAGAATAAAGGCATTACTTAGATGTGCTGATGGACCCTTAAAAATAGGTCATATGAAAGTATTGTCAATACACCCATCGACATAGTATTTTCAATTGTCTAATCAAGATATACTTGCAGAACTCAACGTACCTACAATATCATTAATATGTGTCACCCATATGTCATATTACCATCCAGTATTATTGCTAATAAATTATAACTTGACAACATTTTATACACATTTTATGCACAAATGCATATTCAACATCTAAACAATAAAATTGTATTAATTATTTTAAAAATGTAAAGACGCTATAATTATTATCTCCGTGTTCTGGGAAGGCAATGTTAGTAACTCCCCAAGCCACCAAAAGAGCATCATGGCCATGTAACGTTGCAGAATCATCCCAACTTCAACTAGAAGTATTATCTCGAGAAAAATATCTGGTCGAGGTTGGGATCGAACTCAAGACCTTTCTATCATGAGTCGGGCGCACTACTACTGCACCAATTCGCTGCTTATATTTTTATTAATATTATCCTACGGATGCGATGGTCGAGCCCTATCCCCCAAAGCCCCGATAGTGCCACTCCCCACACCGTGGGGTAAGTGATCATTGGTACTGTGAATCATGTGCTCCGAACAAGCGCAATGAGCCAAGAATGACAGCCTTCTGCATTTGTCCGGCTAAGATTTCTGCCTTAGTACGGTAAACCGGCATAATATTGAGATTCGAGGGTACAGAGGGTATAATTCCACCAAGGACCCAAATTATCAAAACAAGCATCTTGATAGCAAGGTCTAGGTATAGTCTGTGGAGTTCGCAGAGAAAATCTCGATAGTTTATACGTTTTTCCTCCTTTTTTCGGACGATATTCGTCCGAAACTCAAAGACAAATATCGTCTTGCTCTGGTAGTCGGGGAGGACTATATCAGGCAGGCTTATTAGCTAGTAGGAGCCTGGTGGTGGGGAACGAATAATTCCAAAAAATTCGGCACTTCTCCTTCTCCACATCGGATTCAGTATCCCCCGGAGCGTAGGGTAACACCGGTGTCTCGTCAATAACGTAAAAGCGCTGTAGGTGGTAATGAAGCACACTTAGGGCCGCGTTATGTCGATGTCCCAGGCGAGAACAACTCCTATTCTGATGAATTGACATTGTTATCTTTTTCGATATTTAAAATTAAAACAAAAGTAATTCTTTATCATAGTCATTTCATTAATTCCCGCTAAAACATTCAAAGGAATGTTGAAACCTAGCAGGTTGAGTCTCAATTTTGAATAACTACTGTGTCATTTCCTGCACATCAATGTATAAAAAGAATCTTGGTTGATTATTAGAATAGCTTAAGTTAAACTCCGCCAAGGTGAAAATAAAGACCATTTATTATTATTACTTAAATTTAATATAATAAACTTAGTCCATTGGGATAAACAAAGACAACTTTCCATAAGTAGGCATCTGCTAGCTTGTTGGAAAATCTGTTCTCATTTCTTCAGAACTTGCACCTTTGTGAAATGAAACTACATCGTTCTTAATTTCGAGTTCGGTCAACCTTTGTAAATGCCTACTTCTATTTATGATGATTCCACTAAAATCATTATCTATTTCTTCAAAGGCTAATGTGAGAAATAATAATTATTGATTACGTATATAAATGTTGATGCTAATGCTGTTTGTCCTAGGTAGCAAAATAATCACTTTCTTGAGGTACCTACCTAGTTTTTTTTTAGGATGGGTTTAGGAGATCATAAAATACCATTAGTCAATAAAGCGTCTAACAACAGCATAAAAACAATGTACAAACGCAGTTCATCGCCAATATTTGACTGTATGGATACTAAAGGAGGCCTACCGAGACGTCATGCGGAACAAATTAAATCTAAACAGTTCTGGGATAAACCAAGGTAATGGTTCAGTTCAATTATTTGAAATCATCAACTATTCCATCATAACTTCTTATCAAATTCCAGACTTTCAAAAAGTTTCACCAAGCACAATGTAAGTCGGGATAGCTCTACCTGTAGTACAAAGTATGCCGATCCGGAGTTGATCGACATACCAGACACGTGTTTAAGATCTAGGACGCCCAGCCCCACTCCACGGAAAAGTAAATCCTCCACGAAATCCCGATGCAGTAGCGCAGGGTCAAGGACGAGTTCAAGGGCTAGTTCTAGAGCATCTCACACAAGGAAAACAAAACGGAAAGACTCAGAATACAGAAAGTTGGAAGAGAAGATCGCTAATTTACAGAGGATGTTAAATAATAATGTTATTCGTAACAAAGATAAATGATTCCAGAAATGTAGGTGCTAAGTTTTCATGAAGAACATTCGACTTGAAATCGAATTTTAAAAAATATTCATTTACTCATTGTATTGTTATATAATTATACTCCATTTACGAAATTGTGTGTATTTTATTTATATTGTTGCAATTAATGGGGAATTTCAGGTATAGTTCTTAATTTTGTAAACTAGATATTCAAGAAACAATTTATTGTGATGGAGTAGTAGAAAGCCAAAAACTTTCTTTCCTAAAGAATCTATTGTAGAGCGGAACACGTGTTGCCTTATAGTAATACTGTTTAGTGAAAATCTCATAACTTGAATATGTTATGAATTTTCATCAAGTATTGGCCGACTCCATCACATAACTTTACTGAATTCAAAAAAAAATAATAGTCACTCTCATCGACCATCGAATTGACGCATCTACAAAAAATGTAAGCGACCAAGAAACGAAATGGTCGAGGCTTTCGCGGCCGAGGTTTTAGTATCACTAATTTTCGGGTTTGAAGGTCGTCGATTTTTGGAATTACTTTCTGACATTTCGCTGGCGCGAGTAGCTAGCTTCTTCAGAGGTTTATACATCCTGTTGACTCAGGTAGTTTGATGTGCTAATACCTATACCTGTATTAAGTAAATTTTCAATAACATTCGTCGACCCTTTTCTACCTGTCGTCGTGCTGTTTGCTATTCTTGAACTTCTTAGAATGGGACTCCATATTCGGTTTTGGTCCACAGCTTCTTTTTTTCTGTTGAAATTATCCGTGTGTTTGTGGTTTCCTTCACTTAGTGCGTGTTCCGCCACATCCGACTTGTCCGTTTGGCCTGGTCTGCAGTTTCTTTCATTGTCCTTCAGCCTTGTTCCTATGGATCATTTGGTGGTTCCGATGTATACCTTCCTACAAATGCACGCTATGTGATATACCCCTGCTGCTGATAATGGGTTTCTTTTGTCTTTAACCGACCTGATTAAACCTGAATATGCTTTATGCAATTGACCTTATGCAGGTACAGGTATTAACACAACAAACTTCCTGAGTCAACATTACGTTTTACACAGCCATAATATCCAATCATCGGAGATGATATATAAACCTCTGAAGAAACTAACCACTCGCGTCAGGCAAAAATAGACGGCCTTCAAACCCGAAAAATATTGACAACTTGAAAACTGTCAGAAAAAGAGTGCTTCTTAAAAAATCAACATGTTGCCCTCAAATTAAAAAAGAAATAATAAAACACATAAAAACATTAACGTTTTTATTTTCTCTCCATACTTTTTAAATATATATTTTAATAATGTGATTCAGGCGAAAAGTGACCCCCGAATCTAGTGTTCACTAACACACATAATCGCGAAACTTATGCAGTGCAATTATTAATACAGCGTTTATTGTTATTCAACCAGCCTCATCCTCTGCTACCTATCAGAGTCCTTTTAACTATCAATGAAGGGCTGCACTCAAATCTGCTCTACAAATGTTTTTCGGGGTTTGGGGATAGGACAAATTGTTTAACCTTTTGATACCTGCTCTGCAGTTTTGGACTCGTCTCATGAGTTATCTCTGGTATTTATTTCAAGAATTACTATCCTATCGCATTTTCAGAGTCTCAATAATCCTTGAATAACCATTTTGCTTCAGAATTTCCAGTGCCTGACCTTACCACCACTCTTAGCAGGGGTGCAGCTGCCCTTACGTCTTCCATTGGTGTTGGCTACTACCTCAAATTATATCGAAAGTTGGAGGTATGAGAATTTTATCTTGTGGCAGTTTTGTAGTCGTTGGTGAAGCCGTTATCGTGAAAATAGTTATACTTACTCTCTTCAAGAGGGATCGGCGGTTCGAAACGTAGAGACTCATAACTTCCATTCTGTTTACCTGTTTCTGTAGTTTCTTGACAATTCCTTCCATGACCCGTCCATTTATCTTGCCCAACTCTCTTTCAAATCCTTTTTTACACGACCCATAAACCGCAGTTTTTTCTGTTCGACGTTTCGGCTTCTGCTTTAAAGCCGTTTTCAAGAACCAATCAACAAAGTTACTTGACTCGACGACGAAGTCGCAACCTACCTGAGTGATAAGCAGTTTTATATTTTCTTCAAGAATCTGCAAACAAACTATAAATATCATAATTTCAAGGAAATAATGTTCAAAACTTACTCCATTTATTCCAATAAATATTAAAAATATTTATCATTCGCTCACTAACAAAAATGAAGTCCTCGGGTAATATCATTGCAAGTGCCTTTTTTTTCTATCCAAGAGTTCTGGAATGAATTCGGATCAAATGTCACATATTCCTTTTAAAACATCTAGAGGCGTCATATCAGGATACCTAGTGGGCTCTTTTAGGAGATCAAGTTTGCCTGCCTACAGTTTTTGGAAACTTGTCAAACCTGACTGAGTTTTCAACTGATATTCCTTAGATTCCTTAGAATGACCTGCTGCATTACCTGATATGACAGTATTAGATTTTTATGAGGATTAGTAAAATATATAAAGTTTACGTTACACAACTGCAGTCTACTCCAGAGCTCATGGTTAGAATAAGAGGTGCTACTAGCAAAATCACCCCAGAAATATATAAATTTGTTAAAAAACTACATTATTCTCAGGAAGTGACGGTGATCAACTCAAATATTTAGTGGAATGAGCTGAATTGAGTTTAAAATCCATTTTTAAAATTATAATATTTGTTGTTTTCTGTAAATCCTCGAAACTAATATAAAACTGCTTATTAGGTACTCAAGAACGGCTGATCCAATTTTCAAAAAAAAAGTTTGACAGAGAATTGAAATACCTATCAAACAAGTCTTAAGACCTTTCTCTTTGATTGAAAAAAAAATTGGTAACGGCCTCTCGGCTACGAGTGATGTAACACAACTATTCAATACAATATAATAAGACAACATTCAAAAAATAATTTAATAACTTAAAGTACTTATTTTGCTTAGCAATATGTGGTAAAATTTATTCTACGGTGAAAAGCTCACAGTAAATAACATGTTTGGAGTATTTGCAAAAACTTCTAGTTCAAAAACAATCAGATTCAATATATCATACAATATCCAACAAAATGACTGAAAGTGATTTTTGAATCACTATCGAAACCTCAAAAGCCTTTCTACATAATATAAACTTATGAGCAAAGTACTATCTTCCCTTTCAATTAGGGGACTACTCCAAAATTGATTGTTTATATCGTCAATTGCTCTCAAAATCAAACCACTACTTTTGGATAAATTCTGACTCATTTTACTATTTTGGTGGATTGGGGGCTGTTCGATTTGGCTGATAACAATGTTTGGGTCTGAAATAGGTAGATTTGCTGATGGGGTCTTTGGCGGGAGTTGTTTGTTACTTATTTTGCTTTCTGAAACAAAAGAGAGATATACATATAGAGATTAATTTCAATTTGGAACAAAATCTGAATGACAATAACTTGTTATATAGAAACTACTTTTGAGTCAAATCTTTCAGAGGGAATATGAGAAAGTAGCCATTAACTTTTTTTTATGAATGTAAGACTCCTGCATATAAAATTTGATACAATATTTTTAAAGACAAATGAAATGTATCAACCTATTTTCAACACTTTACCAAAGATAAGTGGTAACTTTGTTTTTCTGTACCTGTATCACCCAACCTCCTAGTCAGTTCTCTAATATGAGCTGCTTGTTCTTCCGATTGTAGAAATAACTCTCTGATAGTATTTTTCAATTCAGTCATCTCTTGCTGCTTTGCTTCTTCTTTAGCGGCTTCCTTTTTTGAAGATCTAAAAGTTGAAGGATAATAAATTTATTGCACATTCATAAATCTTCAAGTTAAAAAACTATATCGCTGATATATATCTCATCAGACAACTGGGAATAACTAAAAAAATGGATTCACACTCCTATCAGAATGAAATGCATAATTAATCAACACTCAGATGTTCAAAACCTTTCAAAGTGGTATTGGTAGAGAGAAACTATAGAGCAACACTATTTTACATTATTAAAGTTATTAATGTTTCTCTATACATACAGTGATACAGAATATTGATGAACAAGCAGATTATAACTTCTGGTTTGTCTTATGGTGCTTTTTATTCTTCAAAATAGTTCTTTGAAATATTGTGTGTATTTGAAGATGAATTTTATAAATTCCAAAACATAATCTTGTGTGATAACTTACTGATCTGTTAATAATGACAACTGCTTATGCTAAACGAGTTGAAATTTTTTTTACAGTTCTAATGGAAAAAGTAACTTTGAAGGGGGTTGTAGCAGGGATTGCAGGTCATAAATCGTTCAAAACAAGCAAAGTTGATGGTAGAAATTTGATCTTATATTTACTTAGTTGGATAAATAAATCCACTTACAATTAGCAATCACTGAGAATGACAAAAAAATATTCAAATATTTCAGAAATAAATATATTAATTACCATGAAATTGAAAAAGTACGCACCTATTATATTCAGAAATCAATATGCCAGCAGCTATGAGGAATATGATTCCTTCCCCCAATAAATTGGCACCTAATTCAATTGCCATAGCTTCATTTAAAACAGGTATATTGACAGGCTTTCCCAAATTGAGAATCCACATCTTTGATTTCACCTCACACCAATTGTAAACTGAAATATTTCAGAATATTGATCTAATTTTCATTTGCAATTTTAAATACCTACACTGTGCAGGAGGCAAACAAACATATTTTCTAAATACAGGGGAACTTTTTGCCTGACTTTTTAAAACATTTGCTATGGGTTTGCTAATCTGTTTCAATAAAAGAGCTCCTAATTTTGCGGCAGGGAAAGCCCCAACAACCATCTTCAATCTTTACAAAAAGAAAATTTAAAATACAAATTACGTCATGATATAACCTCAATGACAAATGATAAATGTCAACAGACAGTACTATCAGTGTTGCCAAATGGGAAGAACGTTTCATAGGATATGCCATAAAAATGTAATATATTCAGTAAAAACGTAATATTCTTCTTTCATATCATTTGTTAACTAGAAACATTAAAAAGGGAGATGTTTTACTCGTACATTACATTTTGGAAATACCTGCCAAAAACCTATATATCCAATACGTAATGCGGGCTTCTTCACTTGATATCAATTGTCTACGCTTGGGAATATTTTTTTTGTTATGAATACTCTGACCCGTTACTTGACGAAAATTGATAATACTCTTCATGATAACAATCATAGAATTTTCACAATGAATAATTCATTGTGAAAAATCAATGATTATCATAATGGATTATTTTATTACATTAAATATACATCTCACCTTTGGCAAATTTAACATTTATCCAATTTCAGTTGCGCATATGTATACAAAGAATAGATTGAATTTTTTAGCATTTTCTCAAAAGAAAATGTGTATTAGTTTGAAGAAAATGGGGAAATTATTTGCTATTGGAAGCACTAAGAACATTGTGATGGACCAAAACATCCATTACCGTTTTTGCAGATGAGGCATATTTTTCGATATTAATACGACCATATCTATTCAGGAAAGGTCTCCTAGCAGGCGAAATAATATTCAATTATATTTCCTGACTCATCCTTGTGAAACTTGGAATTTTCAAATTGGTGGGTTCATGATGAAAATAATTAGCAAACCTTTTATAACTATAATAACATCAGTGCAATTTGCAGTAAAAGTCTTTAGAAGAAAATTCAATAAAACTGTTCTATTTTGACTTATATTATATTATTATAGCTACTGGGAGCCAATCAGTAGAAGTTGAATGATTTGATGAATAGAGGGTTTCGATACTAAGGATGCACAGATGACTTGGTGAATAGAACTTCGAAACGAGAATTGCAGAACTTCAATTCAACTGACTTTTACATACAATAATAGTTCGTTGTCAAGTCGTAACTCAGCTGGTGTTATGAAACTTTGATGTATTTCATAGGCAAATTCATTCAATCCTCATGTTAATCAAGTATTTTTGAAGAAGGTTACAACAAATGCTTGATGACATGGTTTCTTTCGAAAACCTGACTATATTCCCAAAAAATACGAAAAAGAGAGAGAAAGAGGGTACATAAAGGTAATTGTATTATAATTCGTAAATCAAAGCAGACCAAAAGTTTACGAGATTGTTGCAAGTTTTTGATGTTCTTTTTACCATTTCTTCATTTTTTTAGACTCGTTCCTCCATTTTTATCATTATTGTGTCCAAACATAACAATTCTCCACCAACTTGAAAACAAACAATGAGATGGAATATGTCTTTCTCTTTTAAGAAATGAATGTGATTTATTCAATATAATAATATAGATTTTAGTGTAAAATCTCACTTATTCATCATTATTGTTTATTTGAAACTCATTGCATTTGCTGCTGGAACAATAAAATTTGTCGAATTTCATTGTTTTTGGAATGGTCGCATAAATGAAAATACGGCTTGGAACAAACACAAATTCATGTGAAGTCTTTTTTACAATCATTAAAAAAATAAAAAAAGGCTATGTTCTACGTTTATAATGATTGCATAGAAAACACTACTTTCACAAATCTACAATTGAATAACTTGAGATACAAACGACTGTACGGAACAGTTTTTTATCGTTAGATGTCACCATTGTTGAACATACCTACTAGCGCCCTTTTTGGTAAATTTTTTCCCAATTCAAAACAGAAATAAGCAACAGTAACTTGTAATACTTGGTTTTAGAGTCAGCACTTTCATTTTGAAATTTTCGATTACAATTGAAATAAAGTCATGCAACTTACAACTCTAACTAAATATTCCTATGGAAAAAATACGAAATTCAGAGACAAAAAAACAATTATGTATTGGCACAATCTGTCACTGCATTACGTTTCGATTCAAAATGACATTGTAACATCTGTAACAACTGAAACTAAGAATTTGACTAAAAAATCAATAAAATTTTGTTGTGATATCGTTAAATACATCCCCGCCATGGATTTAAAATGTCCCGCTACTGGTCCCAAATGTCGTGCGCGCGCTGCTCAAAGTTTGAAATCTCCCCCTTGTCCTACACCTTTTCCAATAGCCGACATGGATGAAAAACCTTTTTTAACAACTACCTGTGCTTGGCAGACTCTTCAAGAATATTATAACAAATCGGGCAATGATTTAGTTATTAAAGACTTGTTCGCGCAAGATCCTAATAGATTTAATAAATTCAGGTGAGTTTATAAACTCCATAAGTATCCAGTCTTCAGCTTGCCTGTCTTGAATGACCTTCAGTGACATTGACTTGACTTCCTTGAATTCCTTTTTTTCATGTAAAATGTGAAAACATACATTTATTCAAATTTTTAACAGTTCCGATGTTTTTCTTGAGGGAAGTTCTACATGAAAATTCAATATTATGTGATACGCATATCAATATTTAGAAGTAATGGTGTAAAAACCAGTAGGAACCAATTGAAAATTTTACTGAAGGAAATTTTAGTTAATAATAAAATACATTTACGAATAAGGAATGGTCATTCTCAGTTTTATAAATATGTGTTATTTCTAATTTGAGTTGCACATGACCTGCATTACATTTGCAAGTCATGGCCTACTTTAAATATTTTCGAAATGGAACCATCATTTCCTTAAAATATTCTCTAAATATTTCAGTTTGAAACTTGCCACTCCTAATGATGGCGACATCCTTATTGATTACTCCAAAAACCGAATTGATGATCAAACAATGCAACTTCTTCTCAATCTGGCAAAAGAACGAAAAGTCGAGGAAGCAAGAGACATCATGTTTAATGGAGGTAAAATCAATTTCACTGAGAACAGAGCTGTGCTTCATATTGCACTGAGAAATCGTTCAAATCGGCCTATACTGGTAGATGGAAAAGATGTAATGCCTGACGTGAATGCAGTTCTTGAACACATGAAGCAGTTTACTAATTCTGTACTCAGTGGACAATGGAGGGGGTAAGTATATGCATAGTAAATTTTGTGGTTTTTTCCTTGTGTTAGCATTACACCCATCATGCTAGCAAATTGCCACAGATATTGTATGGACAGACAACTCACGTGCATTCAACAAAGAGGTCATCAATTCAAGAATACAATGTAGTTTGTCATGTGTAATACATTATTTTACCCCAAAAATTTACTATAAAATTATGTTTTCTTCTGTTCGATTTTTGTCACTGATGATACTAGTTGTTTTAAATGGAAAGCTTTAAAAATATCAAGTGTGATATGCCACCGATGATTTTATTGCTTTATCAATATTTGTAATGAAAGAGACAGGTCCGTATTTGAAAAAGAAGTTGATGGTGGCCATGTTACAAAAAATTAAATCAAAGATTTGTTGTTATATCATTATAGTAGATTTCAAATACTGTAAAACTTTCCTTTTCCATTTTTTCAAATTTTCTGAAATAACAATTCTATTTGTAAAAATAAACAGTATTTTTAGTTTTCTTTGTATAACTTGAGAAGGGTTGAAGTTTTTGTAAATTTTTTTTACCATTGCACTGTTCCCTACAACAGTTACCTTTTTTCCCATTTAATCGTGTTCATATCTGTTACGGTTTGTAATATAGAAATGTTACCACATGGTGAAAGAATCGGCCTGTATATTGTTTTTTTTTAGGTATTCTGGGAAGCAAATAACTGATGTTGTTAACATTGGGATTGGAGGTTCTGATTTAGGTCCTTTGATGGTCACAGAAGCCCTCAAACCATATAATAAGGGCCTCCGGTTACACTTTGTCTCTAATATTGATGGCACTCATCTAGCAGAAGTGCTAAAGAAAATTGAACCAGAAACCGTGCTTTTCATTATTGCCTCTAAAACTTTCACAACTCAAGAAACATGTACAAATGCACAGTCTGCCAAGGATTGGTTTTTAGCCTCAGCTAAAGATGTAGGTCAACTTTTTGCAGTTATATCCAATAAAAAATTAAAAAGGCTCTATACTGAAAGTAGGTATAATTCATTTTTAGCCTGCCGCAGTTGCCAAACACTTTGTAGCTTTGAGCACCAACGCTGCCAAAGTATCCGAATTTGGAATTGATACTGCCAATATGTTTGGATTCTGGGATTGGGTGGGAGGAAGATACTCTTTATGGTCTGCCATTGGACTTAGTATTTCTTTATCTATTGGATTTGATAATTTTAGCCAACTTCTAGATGGTGCTCACCACCTTGACAAACACTTTCAAACTGCACCATTAGAAAAAAATGTAAGTGATGACAACAAATTAAGGGAACAATGGGATACATACTAATGTAGCTCAACAAATCATAAAGCATCAGTCAGCTTGAGTCCCTTATATACATTTTTGGTAAAGGGAAGAGGTGATTTTTTTCACAGCTTTAATTGCATCTTTTAAATCTGTAGTATTTTGAAATTTATATTGTTGCAAGTGTTATTCATTATAGACCCCTATAGACTAGGGGTTCCACTATTTTTGTTGCAGCCAATATTTTGTGTCATAAGTAATTTGAAAGGTATATCTATCGACTGTTACTTTTAATGTACTTTATTATACATACTTTTTTATGTACACAGGATGCTCTAGGAGCACCTTTTACTTTCACATTTCCAATTCTACTCACTTATGTCATTGCAAGAAACCCATATATGTGATGCAGTTTATTGTACTAGAAACCATACACTGAAGGTGTTTTGTCATTAGGTCCAAAACTATTGAACACATTAGTCAAAAATAACTGAGGAAACAAATAGAGCTTATGTTCAAAGTCAATGACAAAAGAGAATTCAATACAAGAATTTTTTGTTGCAATTGAATGCTTTTAATATTCAATTAAATTAAACCTTCACTGTTCTAATTTCGATAAACACCCATATGTGATATTTCTAATGAACAATTGTTTTTCTGGGAGTCTGAAACCAAGAGGGCGGCAAGTCTTGAATACAGAGAATGTTGAAAACTTCACAACTTTCATCATTACAAATTTGAGTTAATACAATGTTTAAGACAAGAATATTTCAATTGATAACTGAGATGCAAGGAAGGAAAACTAGTCAACAATTATTGAATTGCATTGGTCAATCTACCCACATGATTAATCCTCTTTGGATTTGTTTTAGTCTATAACCCAATATACATGACCTGCGAAAAAGCTTGAACTTATATCGCATCTGATGTGATGAATGTAGGTTGTAATAGGAACCTCACAAGAAATTTTTGCTTTCTATTGAACCTAATCCTAAAGATTGAAAAATGTGTAGATTAGGCAAACAATTTGTTAAGTTGGAACATGTCCAGATTTCAAGCAATGCATTGGAATTATATGAAATTGGTACTATCATTAAAAATTGTCGATAGAAGATCCAACGATTGTTAATTATTTTTAAGGATTATTATGTGATGTGAAGAAAAAGTAATTTTCTTAGAAGTTGAAGTTCTACTTACAAAATCCAAGATATCTTAGTTTTTATGAGAAAGATTGCTGAGTGAAAAATACATGAGAAATATGAAAGTACTGTCTAGTTGACTTTTCTTGACTAATTCAGAATACTTCTGTTTTGACCTTAAATTCACAGCTTTATTTTATCTTCTATCTCTTCTATCTAATCTTACAATAAAGTGTTTCTTGAATACGTTCAAGTATCGGCCGATTCCATCAAATAACGTATCATTCTTTTGAGAAGAAAACTTATGCTGAACATCTTATAAATTCAGAAACAGATACCTCTTTCCATTTTCCAGATATGCCTCCTAGGATACTAAGTTATACTGATGATATTATTGTCATTTGTTTAATTGAACGATTAAATTGAAGATTTAGCCAAAGCCTCGGTAGATAATAACATTATTCTGAGGTAGGTTAAAGTACACCACAGGAGTAAAGGTAATCGCATTACCGACTCTTTAGCCAAGGAAGCGGCTGGACTAAGAATTTTAGGACCCAGTGGCACCTACGGTCTGATGACTTCGACAATTGCGGAACTAGTCAAATGATACACCCATGCTCAATCCTTAAAGAGATGGGATGGAATCAAAGGATGCAATCTTGCCAGGATCACCTTGGGCGACCCTGGGAAGCTGGCGCCGAAGAAATATCTGGCGATGACCAGGAAAAATCTACGCCTAACAGTAGGATTTTTAACTGGCCACTGTCAACTAAGGAAACACCTCCATAATATGGGACTAGTGGACACATCTCTATGCAGGATGTGTGAACAGGAAGATGAGATTGTCAGGCACGTCCTGTGCGAGTGCCCGGAGTTATCATCAATAAGAGAGTGTGTGTTTGGCGAGTCTTGACCTACACCTGCCGATATAAAGGAGATGTCTCCCAGTGACCTGTCCACCTTCCTGGAAAGGACAGGATGGACGATGACCTAGGAGGACAATTCCTCGGGAGGATGTACAATGGGTCACATGTGGCCTAAGTGCTGTGGGCTTACACTCACCCTCCCTACTCTACAGGTACAGAGAGATGAAAGTACTGTCTAGTTGACTTTTCTTGACTAATTCAGAATACTTCTGTTTTGACCTTATTAAAAAATTCACAGCTTTATCTTACCTTCCAACTCTTCTATCTAATCTTACAATAAAGTGTTTCTTGAATACGTTCAAGTATCGGCCGATTCCATCAAATAACGTATCATTCTTTTGAGAAGAAAACTTATGCTGAACATCTTATGAATTCAGAAACAGATACCTCTTTCCATTTTCCAGATATGCCTCCTAGGATACTAAGTTATACTGATGATATTATTCTGTCATTTGTTTAATTGAACTTGATTAAATTGAAAATATATTTTCTCAGGCTCCAGTTATTCTCGCCTTGTTGGGTATTTGGTATGACAACTTCTATGGCTCTGAAACTCATGCTCTTCTTCCATATGACCAATACCTTCACAGATTTGCTGCTTATTTTCAACAAGGTGATATGGAGAGTAATGGCAAATATGTTACTAGAAGTGGTCAGTTGGTAAGTGGAAATGACAGTCAATTTCATGCATGTCATGTTGTAAGGATTTGAAATATTGAATTTGGCATATATTCTGAAAAAATATTGGAAACACTACTGAAATAAACAAATGAGCCAAAAAAAATATTTCAGAGATCAATTACAAGCAAATCTCCACATATCATTGTTGAAGAGATTTGATATTAAAATATACTTTTTAGTGGATAGCATTAACCATCAGTCATCCTATATTCATAGTAAAAATGATAATAATAAAAAGCTTAGGAGTGGTTAACAATCGGGTAAATATTCATGGAAATAGATGTTGACTCCTCTGGCATTTGTTAGGCCTAATTAGACGGTGATTTCAATGATTTTAATTTTGATGATGGTGCCTTAGTTATGTGTTCAAATGAAGACACGTTCAATTGTAGTTTGTGTTTTAAAATTTTGAATTATTAAGGAAGATTCAGTAGATGTTAGTTATTGGTTAGAGAGTTAGCTGAATTACATTTTCAATATAATTTTTCATATAAGCTTTACCAAACCTAAATTCATATCGTTCATTAGATTTTTTGTAAATCTTTTCTAATGCAACATCGTTGGTGTTTCTGATAATGTAGGTTAGGTTAGGTCTAAAGTGGGTGGGTCTATTCGATCCTCCACCGCAACACTCAAGGGTTTATTGTGGCTCACACCTATTCTGATAATGTAACGACTGAACGAATATTTATTCAACTCATTATTCAGGTGGATTATTCCACTGGTCCAATAGTGTGGGGAGAACCTGGCACAAATGGTCAACATGCTTTCTATCAACTGATTCATCAAGGTACACGAACCATTCCTGCAGACTTCATTGCTCCTGCACAAACTCACAACCCCATAAATAATGGTGTGCATCACAACATCCTGTTGGCTAATTTCTTGGCACAAACTGAAGCTCTCATGACAGGAAAAACAGAAGATCAGGCTAGAGCTGAGCTTCAGAAGCAGGGTCTGCAAGGGGAGGAGTTAGAGAAAATACTGCCTCACAAAGTGTTCCAGGGAAATAGGCCCACTAATAGTATCGTGCTGAAGAAGGTTACGCCCTTCACATTGGGTGTATTGATTGGTAATATATTGAAATGAAATTACTCAAAAGCAATTTTGATTGAGTTGAAAACCTTTTTTTCTTTTTTAGCACTATATGAGCACAAGATCTTCACTCAGGGAATTATTTGGGATATAAATTCCTTTGACCAATGGGGCGTTGAGCTGGGGAAACAGTTGGCTAAAGCCATCGAACCAGAACTGCGAGATAACAGTCCTGTATCGTCTCATGATGGCTCCACCAATGGTCTCATAAACTTTATAAAAGCTAGCAGATAAATTTTTCCGAGAGGTTTTTATGTACTGTTATTGTGACGAAAATAATTTATACTTGCTCATTTTGGGCAAAATATATTGGTTGTATACTTTGTTTTAAATAAAATATTTATTCATTAGTATTTTGTTTTTGGGTAAATATGGAATAAAAGTAGAACTCCAAGCGTCTGTATTTTTTAGTTTAGATTATTAAAAGTTACCATGTTGTAAATGCCCGTTCAGAGTTCAATTGCAACAGCAGTTTCTGACCAACCGAAATGTTGAGATATAAAACTATGTTTTAAATGTCGTATTAGAGTTAAGGTCCATAAACATTTCTTTGGGCGTTTTAACCTTTACAATACGTCTTTGGCCACTTTGCACACAAACCACTATGGCCTCAGCGGGTGGTTTTTGAACCTTCAAATTCAAAATACAATATTGTTTACAATTTTACTTATGTTGGCTACACGAGTTCCTCGATGTTAATGAGCTCTTGCCCCACTGTGCCGGCTGATCTACTGCGCATCCAATATTCAGAGGCACAGCTAGATTTGCCAAGCTATAAATACTTACCTGAATTATTTTGTATACCTAATCATACTTTGAAAATATGACTTTTCTCCTATACTTCTGAAGCTTTAAAGTTCAAACTTGTAAGATAACCTTCTGTTATGAGTTTCTATTATATGACTATAAAAATATTGAACTTTCTATAAGATATATTTGTTTAAATGTTTGAAAATCAACAAATATTGATTGGCCATCAAATTAACTTCCTCTTAGAATTATCAAGTATAGTTAAGAATATAATGAGACGATAATAAACTAGTAGTTTTGCATAGTACAACGAATTCTGGATTTCTGAGTTTTATGGTTTTGCCAATGGTATCTCCCTTTTTTATGCTCTAAGATTGCACCTGAGAGCCAAATATTCACATAGTTCCACCACCCTCTTTGTAAAACCGGTTCTTTTTCAAAAAGTACAAACAGCTGGAAAACTTCATACAGTTTAGACACCCTATGTCGATGAGCAGTTTTAAATGAAATAAAGGCTCGTTGAGAAACTAGTATTAGAAACAGTTTTGAAATATAAACGTTGGTCACTAAAGTTGTGTGGATTAACTTCTGCCAGTGGTATCTCTAGCTAGAGACCAGCAGTAATCCCACAGTTTGTATGTCAAGTCCTTTCAACAGATGTACCAAGCTTTTCATTAAGTGTGTATCCATCTGTTGATATTTCATAACATATGGTCTATGCAATTTCAGCAATTTTTTTTGGTTTTAACTGCAAATATAGGTACTGAATTATGCCTGGATTCTGTAATCAATTATAACTACGCCACTGATATCTGATTTATTAATTCCTACAATCATTTGAAGGACATATATTAAATGTAGGAATAACCTAAATTTTAGCTTTCGAACAGTACCTATATCTATTTTTGAGTGGTCAAAAAAATTAAAAAAATATTTTTGTGGTAAGTTCAGCGACTATAATTTTTCTTTCATACATTTTTTACTGCCATTCACCAAGGATTGAAACTAATGTTTACTATAAATTTGCTTTGCGACGGTATTCTAACCAAACAAAATAGTGGTGGGTGGAGGTAATCAGTGTTATATTTCATTATCCGAATTTCTTGATTTTTTGAAATTTTCTGGTACCAACTGTTTCCTTTGAATACATTCAATGTGTAAGCTTATTGCTATTTATTCGTCTTAATACTGATATAAGTAAATATTATACTCCTATGGAAATCTTTTTGAGTATTCATGACCATTGCTTCCATTTAGGCGCATTGCGCATTTGACCAGGAAGGAGAACTCAATTGACGTATTTATGAATGGTATAGTAACCTTCCTTTGGAATTTTTGAAAAGCTGTCATTTTGAGTTGAGATTTGAGATTACGAAAATCATCTCAGAATGATTATTGTATGATATCATTGTCTGATTACATCACAGAATTAAGTTGTGGTTACGCCAATCAGAAAAAAAGTGTTTTGTCACGTAACGGATAACATCGTGAAAGAAGATATTGTAGGTGATTTGAAATGAAAAAATCTTTCCACTGTTTTGGTTTTTGTTTACGATAGAAATTTAAAGAAATATCTGGTCAATATTAATGGAAAAAAATAACAACCATCCAGATGGAAATCCTGCTCGATGCAATGAGGTTCATATTAGCTTAAAGGGAAAGCATTGCTACAAGATGGCGCTGCAAAACTCAGGGGTAATAAAATTGTATTGGGAAAACGACAACATTATTTTCTCTCTTGTGCAAGAATGGTCATTACGGTAAGATATTTCTTAGAAGGATATCTCCCTACCGTCTACAATCGTCTCTATTACTTATCTTAGGTATCTGGAATATAATATATACATTGAGTTATTGTTATATATTCAACATCCATCTTTCTTTATTCAATCATCTCTGCTGACCACATACGACGTCTATCGAAAACATTAGATTTAAGTCAGAGGTTAAAATAGAAACAAAGTTCCGTTAGACGTTTTCACAAACACTGAACACTGAAATTTGATTCTGTTCTGCTTCTTGGTAGCGAAAGTAATTTATTTCATCTGTCTATCCGTTTCTTATGTTTATAATAATCGCACCAAAAACATTACTCTTATAAATTCAAAATTAAACAACTCACAACACACAACTCCAAACAATAAACATAGCCTATGTTTCATAATGTGAAACATAGGTCTATATACTGACATTTGGTAAAAATCTCACAACAAAGTGTTTCTTGAATACCCAAATTGAAATAATCAAGAATGACATTCGATTGGGAAAGATAGTTTTACTAGCTTGTCCCACAGGATATTTTTCTATATTCATTTCTATTTCTTATTAGATGAAGTAGATTAATTCATTTCCTGAAGACGACAACTTGGGGAAACGCGCTTCGAGAAGAGTATTGCAGTTCTGACGTTTGGAAACATTGAGAGAAAGCCAAAAAACTTTTTTTCCCAGAGCTTAATCTCCTCTAAAAATATTCCACTTGTAATAATTTGTTACATTCTTTAAATGATACTTCGATTTTTTATTTCTACAATGTACAACAGTTCACCCCTAATTTCACTCCTTACTGGAGGGGAGCAACCCTTTCGAAAAATTTAAATAACATGAGGTGGTGAGTGCTAGCTCATTTGATAAGGGTTTTATTCTCTATTCAACCGTGCAAAGGAATTGAAATTTGCTACATTAATTCAAGAGTTATGATTGTTTAAGAATAACGACAATTAACGTAGCGCAATCACCCTTAGAATTGAAAATTCGGCCCTGTATGGTATCGGTTTTGGTTCAGACGTCAAGTGAGACATATTTGTCATTTGCTTGGATATTACTTGCATGTTTTTGGATGTTTGGGGATGAATGGTCAATACATGAAACTGATATCACGGAGAGTGCGAGTCAGTGTATTCTGGTTGTTGTGCTTGCTATTCATCTTCAAACAATGGTTGCACCACGTGCGTTTAAATGAGAAATGCGAGGCAATTGTTATTTTTGGTGAGGCTCATCGCAATTATCAGGAGGCTGTACGAATGTTCAATGAACGTTTTCCAGATAGCCCTATTCCCTATTGAAATATATTATTTCAAACAGTTAGTGGAAAAATTTTATGAGAACGGTAGTGTGCAAAATAAAACACGTTCTGGGCGATCAACTACAGGAAAAGATAAACAAATGGACATTATGAGCGAGTTTGTAAATAATCCGCCTCATCGATTAGAACTGTTGCCTTGATGACGCAGATGACGGTATTGACAGTTCTAAAAAAATAAATTTCATCGCCACAAAATAAAAATGGTGCATGAACTGACAGAAGATTATCCAGACCACCGTCTAGAATATTGTGAAATTGTCTCTAACAATATTTTGCAAAATCATAGCTATTTGAAACACATTTGTTTCAGTGATGATGCAACTTTTTTTAAACGGCCACGTTTATAGATAAAATGTGAGGTATTGGTCCGATGAAAATCCTTGACTTTTTCGTGAAACTCATAACCAGTTTCCCCGAAAAAATAATATGTGGGCAGGAATACTGGGTGACCAAAATAAAAGGCCCGTAATCAATGAAGAAAAACCGAACGGGGCCCCCCAATAAGGAAAGCCGGAAAAAACCAAAAAACCACCGAAAAGGGGAAACGGCCAAAAAAATTAAAACAAACCCAAAAGGAAAATGGTCCGCAAAAAAAAGGAACCCCCCCCCAATTTGAAAGTGCCGGGAAGAACTTAAAGTTCCTTCCAACGGGGTAACCAAAAAACAAAAGCCAACGGAACCAACGGCAACCCAATCAGGAAGTAACGGCCCCGAATAACGAAAGGGGGGCAAAAAATAACCCCCAAAACTTGCAAAACCGCAAGAACGAAAACAAAAAAAAAACCCAATTCCGCCAAGAAGGCAAAGGGGAAAATTTTGAACATTTACTTCAATAACAGGAAAAATTAGTGTTAGCTTAGTTGCCTTCCTGTTTGTGGTGTAATTCTTTGCACGGTTGAAAAGAGAATAAAACCCCCCTTTGAAATGAGCCATCACTGACCACCCTATATGCGGAGGGTTGCTCCCCTCCAGTAAGAAATGCAATTAGGGGTGAACTATTCATACAAAAATGTACACTGTAGAAATAAAAAATCGACGTGTCGGCGATTTTCCTAACAAGAGTCCAGTAACAAGTTAGATAGGGGGAGGGGGAACACTTATGACGGGCACTGTATAGAATTTTGTGATGATATTCACTGGGCAGAGAGTTCTTCAGTGTACCTATTTCTTATGAGTGACGTTGTTCAACCAATCAACATCTTTCCGATATCTAGGTTAAAATTTTGTTTGCCTTTAAAACGATAAATTTTGAAAACATTCTAAAATCAGTTTGTTTAACGGCGTAAAGGAGGAGAACTGTGGGAGTCAGGAGTCACCTCAAAGTAATATTCCTTCTGAAGATAGCCTGCTACGTTTTAAAAATATAGGATGATATATGCCCATTGCATATTTCTGTGGCGAATAGAACATATTCTATTGCCAATCACCCTCCTCATCAATCCGTTCGGATTATAGCTTCTGTTACACCAGTTGTTCAGTATATCTCACTATTTAGAAAGGTACCGCAAGGCATCATACTTCAACTAAACCAGGCCATATTGATGTTACACTCATACTGAATATTTTCATCAAATCCAGCAACCCTTTCCACTCATTTGTATTGTAGCAATAGCAGAAAGTTCTCGAGTAGAGAGGACTCGATCCTCCGGAAGAAGGAAATATTGAGAGCAGATAGTTGTTGGTTCACACATGGACAGACCCAGAACAGAGATATCAACCTGCCTAGGAGTCTATGCGACTGTATTTCAAGCGGAAATTTACGCTATTCAATTGTGTGCGGGAAGATTGGAAGAATCCAACCTCATAAATAAGTCAATAAAAATATTCTCGGACAGTCAAGCGGCGTTGGAAGATCTTGGCTGCTACCGAGTAACGTCTAAATTGGTAGCAAATTAGCAAAAACGACTCTTCTTGATATGAAGACTTGATAGATTGTCTCTGGTCTGGATTCCTGGCCATACTGGCCTGGCAGGCAATGAGGCTCTTGACTCCCTTGCAAAGGAGGGTGCTGCAAGCAGTTTCATCTGACCAGAACCTGTCATTGGCATCGCTTTAGGCTTTGCCAAACGAAGATTGAACACCTGGATGGCGAGAAGGTTTATGGACTTCTGGCATAATTTTTCAGGATTGGTTCTCTCTAAGGCGTTTATTTACCCTTCGAAGCTTGATACCAAATAGTTGTTGGACTAGAGTAGGGATGAACTACGATGTCTAACAGGCCTTCTTACAGGTCACTGTCATTTGAATCATCATATACAGAAACTCGGACTGTCGGAAGAAAGTGTGTGTCGCCTCTGTTCGGAAAATGATAAAACAGCAGAGCACAAACTTTGTGCCTGCCCCGTTGGGGATCGAACCAGGTTTTTAGAGTTAGAGTTCGGCAGAGGTGTACTCTTACCATCTGACCTGAAAGACCACTCACCATACAAACTAATCGGCTTCGTTAAGAAGCTGGGTTTATTTGGTCGAGTGTGAACATGTGTGAGCCACAATAAACCCTTGCGGGTTGCGGTGGGGGTCGAATAGACACATTCACTTTGGACCTAACCTAATAGCGGAGAGTATTCGTGTTACTAAGATTTCCGTAAATAGCTTACAATAAGAATTCTTCCATATTATTTTTCTGTAACTCTTTTGAACCGACATATCTCAGTTTTTGGGGATGATAACTCTCCGCCCCCCGACAAATCACTCCAGAATCTGCAGCTCGCTCTCCAAACATGTGGTGGTGAGTACTTGACATTTTTTCATTAATTAGTATCTGCCCATCTGGGTATTGTGCAGCAAAGTTCTTCGAATCCACATAGACTTTTTGAACTTCATCCAGGGTTATATGATGGTGTCATGTTGACGGTGTTTTCTGGATTTCCAATTTCTAGTTTCCAATCTTTCCATTTTTTAATAATGGGAGCTTGATCATTCACCATTCAGTAAATTACATTTGAACAATGTACTGAACTTCAAACAAACCGCTCTGACCATTTGAAAAGAAATATTTTATTAGAGACTCTACTACGTCAGACGTTTGAGAACATTTTTACTAACCACTCTTGAAATGAATTAACTGTACCATTATCTGACAATGTGTTATCTATATGTTAGTTGAGAATCAAATATATTATTTACTCATATTCAAACAGGGTCATATCTATCGTCGAGTGATGACAATATTAACACAATTAATTAAAGTGAATATTTGTAATGTACGGAAAAAGTGAGTAGGTACATTCGTATATATTGTCATATTTTATTCTCGTTTCTAGTGGGATTGTGAGTGAATTATTAGGTAATATTCGGTAAGTTTTACATCAGTCGTAATATTCCCATTGTATGCCAGATGATATATGCATGCAACCTTCTGAAAATATTCATCAATATATATGGTGCAAAAAAGTAGTACCGAGTATATTGGCACGAACCAATATAAGCTAGGAACATAAGTTAACTTCCTTTGAAAAATACTCTTCAGAAATATATGGGTATAGATTTAAGTAACTTTTCAAAGTGCAAATAATTGAATCTGAATTTCGAGTTGAACTTTTCACACTTCAGATTAACAATTTATAGAGGATGTAAAATTTGCCGGCATAGACAGGTTTTTCAATAGAGTCCATCTTGATAATTTGAAGGCTGCTATCCAATATATCATATCAACATCAAACAATAAGAATTATATGAATGATTAAAAAAATATGAGTCTTATGTACTTATCAAAAATAGTTATTTTCAATTTTCAATGAACTTTTGAGAAATCCTAGATTTGTCTATAAAAATGTCATGTTTGCCTCATTATATCCTAAAAGTAACTTAACTCTACTAACTCTACTACTAACTACTACTACTACTACTACTTAACTCTAATATCAAACTACGATTCGCACTGCGAACGGTTCAGATTAATAAAAATAAGAGTTTGCTCCAATGCAAATTTTAGAAGCAAATCTTCCAAAATATATACGATATCAGCTGAGAGAACTTACATCACTTGGGATCACTTGATCCCAAGATTTTCTACCGTTTTTGAGATATAACGATTCAAAAAGTTGTGAAAGTTGTAATCGTCATAATATGCACATGTTTCCGTCATAATATGCACATGTTTCCACGCCATCTATGAGGTAGTGTACTTAGCGCGTTTTTTTAACGTTGTTTCCCCAGCAGGCCTTTTCCAGGGGTCAGTTGTGATCCTGTTTGATTTGAAACTATTGCAAAATAATGGATATTAGCAGAGCTTGAAAAGATAAAAGCAATTTCAGGTTTCATGAAAGAAGCATAGCAATCATGATGATATTAGGATTCCCCAGCAACTAAATCATATTCAAATTCGAGTCGAGCAAGAATAGCTTTTGCTGTAGTATCGTCACGAGTCCGTGTCCGAGCTACTTCCAGAATTTAATCTTCAAATTGAAGTGTACTTACTTGGCTAATTCGATGGCGAAAATCAGAGGATTTTCTTTTCTACTCTTCATTCAATTCCAGGCAATACAATAGGAATTGGTTTTAAAAACAAAAAGCTGATTCACTGGAACGTAATCTAGTACGAAGAGGACTTACTGTGGATGTACTGGCTTCTTGTTCTTCACGTTGTATTTCATTAGCTGCAGCAATAGAAGACTTTCGAGTATAATTTTTACGACAATTTTCATGTATGTCACAGATTTGTGATTTTTAAGATATTCCAAAAATTCATCTCCTCTTTCGATACTTCCATTTATTAATGTCTTTATACCACGTTCAACAGTAACAACACTTTCAGTTAAAAGTTTAGCACAAATAAAACAATATTCTGATATTTTTGTTAAAAAACTCAAAACAGCACGATATAGGTTAGGATAAACATGTGTTTATCCTAACATGTGTTTATCCTAACTTATATTCACGCACACAATTGAACAGGGTACTGATGTTATCACAAAGTTATAATGGCGTATAAATTTTAAGGGACTGGATTTCATTTTACCTGATATTCTTATAGTTATAACTTATGTATATTTTATATTATAAGTGTAAGTTACTGATTGTTAATTTATGTCTGGGCAGATTCAATGAACTCGCAGATCTCGTTCCATATGCATGAATATAACAATGCCTGTCAAATTTATTAACGTTTTCATGAATCTCTAGTAAAACTTTATAGATACATAATGTTGGAAGTGGCATAATTCCAAGTTGAATAAAAAAAGGACGACAGTGATCTTTGTAACCTGCTTTGGCTATTACTCTTATGGCCTTTTTCTGGCACCTAAAAACACTAATGCAGTTACCAGAATTATTCCAAATCAGAATACCATATGACATAACTGAGTCAAATAATCCATAGTAGGCTCTTTTGAGCGTCATCAAGCTGACCACATTATTTAATCATCTCAGCACAGACAGTGGAAAGTCACAGCTAGTCACAGCTTTGATGATCAGACCAGCTCTATCTATTATCGATAACGAATCCTAAAAAATTAAACTCTCTGATGGATGCGTACTTAGATTGGAAGATACAATTAAATTTTGAGTTTTGATTTCATAAGTCAGCTTATTAGCAGCAAACCATTTATACGCTAATATTTCGCTAATATCTCGCAGCGTAAGCTGTTAAAGTCTTTGCTAGAACATAATAGAGTCATATCATCTGCAAACAAGGTACATCTTGCTGTTTTTATAAAACTGTATAGCTCATTGATATAGATCGAAAACAATAGTGGACCTAAAATAGAGCCCTGAGAGACGTCACGCTTTATTTCTTTGAGGTCTGACTTTAGTTGTTCACTTCAACATATTTGTACCTGTTTGTAAGATGAGACTGGACGAGCTTGAGAGCTACGCCCGGACACCATAGTAACTCATTTTTTCAATTAAAATAGTAAGCGATACACAGTCAAATTTGCCGGATAGAATTCTCAAATCAAAAGCAACTGATATATAATAATTTTTTTTTACATATTTTATAGGTTATGGCTTCCAATAGAAAATTCCGTTTTGCTATCGATCGGGGTGGCACTTTTACAGACGTATTTGCAAAATGCCCAGGTGGAAAAATTCGTGTCCTAAAATTACTTTCAGAAGATCCTCAGCATTACGATGATGCACCAACAGAAGGCATCAGGAGAATTTTACAGGAAGTTAGTACATAATCCAATATCAGGATTTTTTGCACTTTGAATTCGTAATTGAATGAAAAATTGAAATCGGCTTTCACTCGGTACCTTATGTTAATTCCAGTATTTTTATATGTATAGGAAACTGGTAATGCACTAGCAAGCGATGGAAACGTAGACAGTTCCCTGATAGAATGGATACGGATGGGAACGACAGTGGCCACTAACGCTCTTTTGGAACGTAAGGGCGAAAAAATGGCATTCGTGACCAACAAAGGTTTCAGAGACATTCTTCTCATTGGAAATCAGGCTAGACCCAAAATATTCGATCTGGTGAGTTGATGATAACGTGTGTTGATTATCGATATTTCATCTTCTAGTAATTCTTTGTTGACAACATTGGATTTTTCTAAATAGAATTTTCGTGAAAGATAGAAGATTTAGAAAAATATTGATATTTTGCTGATACGAAATATGAAAAGAACAAGTTAAAATGTGAATGAAAACCTGAACGTGTTACAGTGTGAATAGCGGACGAGGCAGACGGTTAGGTTGGGTTAGGTTAGGTCTGAAGTGAGTGGGTTTATTCGACCCTCCACCGCAACCCGCAAGAGTTTATTGTGGCTCACACCTATTCACACTCGGTCCCCAGCAGGGCAGGCACAAAGTATATGCTCTGCTGTTTCATCATTTTCCAAACAGAGGCAACACACACTGTCTTCCGACAGTCCAAGTCTCTGCATATGATGATTCAAATGACAGTGACCTGTAAGAAGGCCTGTTAGACATCGTAGTTCATCCCTACTGTAGTCCAACAACTGTTTGGTATCAAGCTTCGAAGGGTGAATAAANTCGATGACGCCGATCTACACCAGTTTGTTTGGCAAAGCCCAAAGCGATGCCAATGACAGGTTCTGGTCCGATGAAGCTGCTTGCAGTACCCTCCTTGGCAAGAGAGTCAGCAGCTTCATTACTTTCCAGGCCAGTATGGCCAGGAATCCAGACCAGAGACAATCTGTTAAGCCTTCCTATCGAGAAGAATCGTTTTTGGCAATATGCTACCAATTTGGATGTTACTCGGTAGGAGTCAAGAGCTTCCAACATCGCTTGACTGTACGAGAATATTTTTATTAAATTATGTGTGAGGTTGGATTTATCCAATCTCTCCGCACACAATTCAATAGCGTAAATTTCGCATAAGTTCCTAGGCAGGTAGATATCTCTCTCCTGGGTCTGCGACTAAAAACACCTGCACCAGAATCGGAAGGCGTTTTTAATCCATCTGTGAACCAACAAATCTGCTCTTAATATTTCCTTCTCCCGGAGGATCCAGTCCTCTTTACTCGGGAATAGTACTTTATAAGGCAGTTCGTTGTTGATAGTTGGAGGCAAAAAGTCAGAGGTCATTTCCAGAATGCTGTGACTTCTAGTGTCAACCTGTTGCATTCTGCATTCAGTTGATTTGTGCAATTGACAATGTGCACAAGTGTGTATGCAGTCCATCTAGCCTCTCCCCAGAAAAATGTGGAGAGGAGGTAGATCTAGAAGAATCTGTATGGCCGCTGACGGTGTGGTACTGATGGCACCACTGATAGCCAGACAAGCCTGTATCTGTCAGTTAGAGAGCTTCGCTTGGGCCGTTTTCTGTAAAGCCTTCGGCCACCAAGCAACTGCACCATAAGTGATTATTGGTCTGACAATCATCACATAAATCCAATTGATTTGTTTGGGACCTAAACCTCAAATTTTACCACAAATCCTTCGACATGTTCATAGAGACAGTCAGTCTGGCTTTGTGTAAAACTTTTTCCAAGTGAGTGTTCCAGGTGAGTCTTTCATCAAGGACAATGCCAAGATATTTCACCTCTGTTCCAAATGTAATGACCTCACCATTGAGGGAAATTGCTCCGTCAGGCACCAACTGTGAACAACGGCCAAAGTGCTTTGGAGGATATTATAAGCTACCCTTCCCGACGTGGACTTTGCCAGGATGACAAGATCATATGCATAAGCTTGCAGATCAACTTTTCTTCTATCAAGGACATCAAGCAGATCATCCATCGGAAGCGACCACAGAAGGGAGATAGTACCTCACCTTGAGGGCAACCCCTGGTGACCCTGAACCTGATGGCCTTGCCTTGAAGAGTCGTAGTTACAGTTCTATTTACTAGAATGGCATAGATTCAGCCAGTTATGGTCGATTCTATACCCTTCCTAGCCAGAGACAATCCTATAGATTTAGGTAGTACATGCTTCTTCAATATCAAGAAATACAGCAACCGCAATCTCCTTGTTGTCAAGGGATTGGGAGATTTTCTCGAGGTTGTTTAAAGCTAAATCTGTCGATTTGCCGGTTTGATAAGCATACTGGTGGTTATTTAGGGGGAATGCATATAATGCTACCCTCCTGATATGTCCGTCCAGTATCCTCTCAAGTCCTTTCAGCAGGAAAGATGTAAGGCTGATTGGTGGTACTGATTTAAGGTTTGGATCTCTCATACCCACTTTAGGTATATATACCACCCTTGCTGCTAACCAACTGGGTGGTATGTAGTTCCACGCCAGACTAGCTCTATACAATTTTGTGAGAATAGGTAAAATTATTTCCAGTCCGTTTTGAAGAAGAGCTGGAAATATATCATCCTCTCCGGGAGATTTGAAGGCAGACAAAAAACGGGATGTAATGTTAGAAATTTTTATCTAATTCATAAGAATGATTGTAAGGTCCTATCATGGAGCAAAGAGGTTTCGAAGCGAAAGAGATTCTCGCCTTTTTTTCACTACCCATGAAACGAATTCCACTCACGGGACGAGAAGGTTTCTTACAGAGAGAGAGAGAGTCGAACCTTGTGACCTGCAGGAATGAGAAAAATCGAACGTGACGTTGGCGACGAGTAAATTGTGTACAAGAAGTTAGTACAGGCGCACCCTTATACGAGGTCCGACTATTAAATAACGAGACTGCGCGCCTAAAGGGCGCCCCAGATGGGTGTGAAAAAAACGAGTAGTGGAAATCTTCTTTCTTTACGTACCAAAACAAGTTTTCGCCACTATTATAGGTATTTGTGCAGTAGCGGTTTGAAACGAACGTTTTTTTCCGTGCTGAAAACCATATGTGACGAAAAACAGGAGCAACGTATCAATCTCACATTTCTCTTTGAACTGAAAAAAAATTCCGACTACAAAGGTGTAAGCGCTTCAGTGCCGGCCGAGAGAGCACTCAGAGCACTCAGAGCACTCAGAGCGACCAGCGCCCAGGTCGCTCTGACACTGTTTCAACTCCGGAAACAGTGACCAAAATCAACCAAATTGTGGGTGCAGATCGTCGAATGAGCATCCGGGAGATTGCCAAGGCTATAAATACCGATAAAGAAACGGTTAGAAAAATTTCACACAAGGAATTACACATGACGAAAGTCTGTGCCAAGTTGGTGCTAAAAAACGTTATCTCCTGATCGAAAGCTCTTGCGTCAACAGGTCTGCTCAGATTACCTTGAAAGGTTAGGAGGAGATCCTGGACTGATGAAAAACATTAATACTTGCGACGAAATGTGGATTTTTCAATACGATGTTGAAACAAGGCGGAAATCGATGCATTGGAAGACGCCTATATCGCCCAGAATAAAGAAGCAAGGATGTCCAAATCAAAATTCAAGGCAATGTTGATGATTTTTTTCGACATAAACGGTATCGTGATGACTGAATGAGTTCCAAAGGATCAGACTCTCAACCAGACTTACTATCTATCAGTTTTGGCAACACTGCAAGAACGAGTTCGTAAGAAACGGCCTGAGTTGTGGAAGAACAACTTGTGGATTTCGCACCAGGATAACGCAACTGCCCGTAATGCTCTATCTGTGAAGCGGTATTTCGCTGATGAACGCACTCCAGTGCTCGAACATGCGCCGTACTCGCCAGATTTGACACCGTGCGATTTTTTTGTTTCCCAAGATAAAATTTGCTTTGAATGACCAATTTAAGTCGATCATAGCGGTAAAGCAAAAAACGGCAGAGCTCCTAAATGCCCTCAGCAAAAAAGACTTCCAGCACTGCTTCGATCAATGGAAAAAGCATATGAAATAGTGTGTGAGTGGAGGCCCTAAAAGTAGAACTTAAACTACACTTTTTGAGAGTCTTGATATAGGATGAAGAGCCTATTTTGATGTAAAACTTTTTCAAATTAGCACCTCAATGACCTGAATGATATGCAGAATGCCTCACAGGAGGCAAATGATTCACGGACAACTCAAATTATGTCCAGAGGAATACGATATACATCCTGCAAGGGACAGGGAATTTTTCAAACTATAGGGTATTTCAGTATGCGCTCTCTATTTTTAAATTTGAATAAAACGAAGTGTGTGCGAGATATCGACATCGTTCAAATATCCGCTACGGTTTTTCTGGGTGGAGCGCATCTGAAACGTCCAATTTTCCATGATTCTGGCGCATAGTAAAGCTGAATTTGACTGATGGCATGGGTTATGTTGGCTTCGAGTACCGCTGTGGTTTGTGGCTTATTCACATACACCTGCGACTTGAGAAAACCCCACAAGAAAAAGTCTAACGGGGTCAAATCGCATGCTCTCGGTGGCCAGTTAACAACACATCCATGTGAGAGGACCATGCCGTCAAATCGCTCGTGCAGAATATCCAATGAGGCATGAGCTGTGTGGCACGTAGCGCCGTTCTGTTGAAACCACGTGTCCAGATCATCAAATCATAGGACTAAAGAAGTTGGTCTTCATCGACCTATAGTGCTCGCGGTTGAAAGTGATGGTCTGGCCAATGTCGGTCTCAAAGAAATATAGATCGATGACGCCGATCTACACCAAAATCCACCCAAAACCAATACCAAACAGTGACTCTTTAGGGATGCATTGGATGCTCTTGGATGTTGTGTAGATTGGTATCGTCTCAAATTTGACAATTGTGTTTGTTCACGTACCCATTCATTTAAAAATGAGCCTCGTCGATGATTTGTCAATGAAAATAAGTTTCTGGGCCAGTTGAATTTTGTACGGGTGCAGGCCCAAGTCACGACGCAAATTCGACAAGTTGTGATGGAGTTCTAGTGAGCGACGCGAAATCGATTGCATCAGATTACCCTGCACACTCTCATAGATAGCGGCGATGTAACGTACGGGTGTTGGTCGATCCTTTACTGAACTAGTAGACTCAAATTTATCTACCACATTAAAATCTGTTTTAAAATCTGTTTTTCCGTTAATCAGCTGTCGCTGATTGAGAAACTTGTGCGAGCTAAGGACTAACGAGGTCTTACCTTTCAACGTGTGATTCCTAACACGGTTGCTGAATCATCCCAGCTTCAACCAGATAAATTCTCTGTTCGAGGCAGGAATCGAATCCACGGTCTTCCGTTCGTGAGTCGGACGCACCACCACCGCGGCCAATTCCACAACAATTGCGAATAGTCTTCTCGGTAGTATAGTTATGGCGACTGTAAAATGGGCGACGCGCGCGTTACGTTGCCCGAACAGAACACCCATTTTGATCAAACAATTTTGTTATTTGCACGTGTTGTTGAATGCTCTTTCACTATTCTGTGGTGATTTGACTAAACAGACTAAAAAATAGGAAACTGATTTGACATATGTAGCTTCGACAAGATCTACATCTACAGGACAAGTACATCAAGTATAATATGAGGTTGAATTGGAAAAACGCTTGATCATGATACATTCACAAAAGTTATGAACAAAAGTATTTTATAGCATTTTGTCCTGAATTAGAATACGATAACAACGATAAAAAACAGAAAATTATGGAAAATATAGAGATCACTCACCTTATTTTAGCAAAAAATTTCTCTGTGGAAAAACTTGCACAAATTTCTGTCAAATATAATTTATTGGTACTAGTGGTGTTCGCCAAGTAGTTGATTTTCGGCAGTGTGAGAAGAGGGGGTGGTGAGTTTCGGATTTTACTTGAAATAATCGTTTTCTCATCAAACATGACACACTTCCACTAGATTTCTTGAGAATACATTAAATATACTTCTGTTCAATGTTACTATAATAGCTGGCCCAGTCAAAACTGTATCGCCTCAGAATTGAGAACTGGTGTGTTATTAGTTGAGTAATATGAACTTTTTTATAGTGTATTCAAAAAACTCTGTATTGTGAGATTTTCACTAAACAGTTTTACACTAACCATACTACTAGTTAGTATAGACTATACTTAATAACGAGTATAGACTATACTATAACAACTATAGGTACTAGTTGGTATGGGCACGTCTGAAGAAGCCATTGTATAGCGAAACACGTGTTGCATTTTTGTGAAATTGTTTAGTTAAAATCTTGTGTTTCTTGAATACGTCACATATTTTTATCAAGTATCGGCTGATTCCATCACATTTCTTTTTGTTTGAAGGTGGTGAAGGTTTCGTGGTGTATTTCATCAGTTCGCACTTCCATTGTTTCAAAACTAGTCGTACAATTATAAGCTTGTTTTGGAGATCGTTTATTATAATTAACATTTGAGTATATTTCGATCTTGTTATTATTCTTCACATACTTTGATTAACTGAAATTGATGATGTTATTTTACTGGAGCTTATATTTATTGATACATTTTGATGATCTTTTGGTCTCATCACTTGTGAGATATATGATTTGGGTTATCTTGCCAATCTTTAATCTCATTTATGCCATCGAATTGATTATTTCCGGGCTTTTCGTGTTACTTTGGTATCAACATTCTCAAAATTACTTTTTTACGAATAAACACTTAACAATTTTCAAATACTGTTTCTTGGACATTTAATGGTCGTTTCAATGCCTCATTAGTTTTCATCGATTCCGATTGTTTTTCCGCTTTCTGATCAACTAGTTGTCACACAAAATCCTTATCATATCTGTTCGTTTTTATTATCTCTTTAACATCCATTCTGTCATCTATGCATTCATCGATCACTTCTGTTCTCAAAGAGACAAAATCGTATCACGGCAGAATGATTCCAATTTTGATGGAATTCAATGAATCTATCTGGACGCCGATTTATTCAACACAATATTACTTATAGTTATTCTCTAAGAAATAATAATGAATACAGTTTTACTTTTACTATACACAATAACTGTGAGAGCTATATGACTCATTAAATTCATAATAGATTTTCTGTCAAGGCTATGTTGGTATATCCACAATGTAGGTATTTATTTTTCTTCACAGGTTTTAACCATGTTTCACTTTCTCACCAAGTCATACCGATGGTTAGAATCGTCCCTAGAGGATTCACTTCTTGTGCAGATGCTTATCTTACGCCTCATGTCAAGAGGTACGTGGAAGGTTTCTCCAAGGGTTTCAAAAACAATTTGGAAGGAACAAGAGTTCTTTTCATGCAGAGCGATGGTGGTTTAACACCAATGCAAAGTTTCAATGGTGCAAGGGCCATCCTGTCTGGACCGGCAGGAGGAGTAAGTATAACTTCTCATATCTCATATCTTTTAATGTCATGAACATGTATGATAATTTTTCATTCAGTTGAATACAATGATTCCTATCTTATCAGATAAGCATCAACTGGTAACTCTCAGTGTTGTGAATATTTGCCATATTTCATTTTGCTATGCTACGATTAGACGACATGGGTTGGGTAGTGAATTTTCTACAGAATCATAACCTAAATAACAATAAAAAACAGACTGTATCTTCGCTATTGTTTTGTGGATGTATTTACCGCTTTTTCAGAGCTACAACTAATGTATAAATGAATAAAAACTCACAAATATTGAAACATTTAAATGCATTGTATGAAATTTGATGAGATAACTCATCTTGGGCGTTTGAAAAATATCATTAAAAAGTACACAATTTATAAAGCATATATTTCAAGTTTGAAGACGATGCGTAGCAAACGTTTTCGGTGAATTTGTGAAAATAGAGGGAATTGGTCATTGTTATGTGGTACAACGATAACCAATATACGAATCGAACTGGATTCTACTCTGGGTGGATATTGGGTAGCAGTGTTTGAACGAGGCCATATGAGAAAAGGTGAAGAAAATCCACAAAGCGGTACTGAATGATTGTCGACTGAAAGTGTGCGAGTTAGAAGATTTAGTAGACATTTCAAAAAGTGCGGTACAACGTATATTGTCTGAGAATTTGGACATGAGAAAGCTTTGTGCAAGATGAGTGCCGCGTTTCAAGTTTCAATTGAGTGTTTAGCGAAGTTTCACATCAACGAAGCAGAATTCTTGCGTCGTTTCATAACCATGGATGAAAGAAACATGGGTCCATTATTTCACACATGATACAAAAGAACAATCAAAACAATCGCCTCCAAAGAAGGACAAGACCGTTTCATCTGCAGGCAAGATCATGACATCGGTTTTTTGGAATTCGCGTGGGATAATTTTTATCGACTATCTTAAAAAAGGTGAAATATCAATGGCGAGTATTATACGAATTTATTGCAACGTTTGTGTGGAGAAATCAAGGAAGCCTTAACGGCCGCATATGTCTAAGAATAAAGTGTTGTTTAATCAAGACAATGCACCAGCTCAAGAATCCATTATCGCAATGATCTCGTTAATCAGTGAATTCCGGACTGAGTTTGACAGTCAAAAAATTCAAAAACAACTAGTACCCGGATCCGGATATGGTATTGGGTGATAGTTCGGGTTGAAGGATAAACTTTGAATTACAGGAGGTCGACGATTCTTGCTTTATATACAACTAATAATGGGTAGTCCCATCTATACAAAAAACTATGAATGATTCACAATTTTCCAGAACATTCCACAATTTTCGAAAATGTTCATATTCCACAATTATCTGGGATGTTCTGGAGTGTTACCAAACGTTCCAGAGTATTTCCGCACATTCCAGAATATTCCGTAAAATGCTCTCGAATACTCCCAAATGTTCGGTACTGTACTGATGAAAATCTATAGAGTTCGAAACTTCCAGCCCTCATATCTTGAAAAGCAAATTTTTTGGAATGTGGAATGTAACTACTTCTACTGTTCTGAACTATTCCAGAAATTTATATAGGGCGGTACATCTAGCCTTTAAATTATCAAATAGAGGCTCTTCATCATAACAGGATTCGTTCCTGAGGTTTAGCGGCACCCACATAATATTATAACATATTTTGATTTTTTTTCACTGTATATTATTGATATAATAAAATTCACCGACATATTCATGGTAGACTTTGTTCTAGGTTGTTGGTTATGCTGTCACAACGTGGCAAAAAGAAACAAACTTACCTGTTATTGGTTTTGATATGGGGGGTACCTCGACTGATGTATCGAGGTTCTCTGGAAATTATGAACACGTATACGAAAGTACCACCGCTGGAGTGACCATTCAAGCGCCACAGCTAGATGTAAATACAGTTGCGGCAGGCGGAGGATCTATGCTCTTCTTCAGGTGAATTTTAGTTAAATATATNATTCTTAGAGTGAACATATGACCAGAATCTGCTAGGATCTCTAGACAACATTGTTTGTATGTTTGCAAGATAGTTATCATGTGCGGTTTTTATTTGGCAAAGAAAAAATTGCGCTGGGATTTGAAGTCGTGAAACCCGTGATCATCATGTCCTACCATTCACTTGACGCCATTGACCTATATACAGAGTGGTCACTTTTTCAATGGGATTGTATTGGTAACTTTTAAACTATAAGAGTTAGAAGGTCGGTCGAATGGAGAAAACGTTGCACTCATAGAAACACTGTCAAGTTGTTCAAACAAATCGAGGCCGGTTATTGAGATGTCATAAAAAAGTTAATTGTGTCATTTTGATTTATCTTTTTTCCCCCTTCATTTAAAAAATTATCAAAAAATGTTACAGGCATTTTTTATTCGATAGTTGATTCTTCTCAATTTATCGTGATCAGATTTGGAATCCAACGTTTCGTACTTTCTGGGCCACCCTGAATCTCATTTTTTTCAATATGAATCTGCATATTTGATGACACTTTTTCGAAATAACTGTTCACGCTGAATTCAACGATATATCATACAATGTCATTCAAAGTTGATTTTCAGGTAATTATGACCCTTTTCAAAATTTCTTTGGTTCGGATCTGTATTAAATTTACCTTAAGTTTAATTAACAATATGCAATACCAAATGCCTTAGCAGGGGTGGACATAACTTCTTAAATTTTAAGTGGAAAGGGGGTTGAGTGGTACACCATTTTAAAAGTCGTTCAGCTGCCTTTTACCTGCTTTTTCAAAAATACCACATAGTTGACCTTTATTTCAGTTCGATCAAAAAAATCCTTCAGTTTAGATATATCATATGTCATTTTTTCAGATCCGGCATGTTCGTAGTTGGCCCTGAATCAGCTGGAGCTCACCCTGGTCCAGTCTGTTACAAGAAAGGGGGTCCTTTAACCGTAACAGATGCGAACTTGGCATTGGGTAGGCTTTTACCTGAATATTTTCCAAACATCTTTGGCCCCGATGAAGACTCTCCTTTGGACGAGGAACAAACTATTAAAGAATTCCAACTACTGACGAAGGACATAAACGAGTTTTTGAATGCACAAGATGAATCTGAGGTAAGTCCCTTCTGATTTCACTAGCTTTTGTGTGGAATAATCTATAATCTTCCCTTCAATTCTTCTATTCTCAAATGAATGGAGAATGAAGTCTCCATTCAAACTAAATGTTATTTTCTGCCTTTGAACTAGTATCAGAAATGAAAGGACAGGTTTTATTCTGAATCAAATTAAGTATAGAAATATCATGATTACCAAATTTTATATGATCAGTGTTTGATATATAACACATGAAATGAATTGGCAGATGATGAATGGAGAAAAGAGTTCTTGCTTCGGTTACTTTGTAATCAGATTCATATATTACCTTGGTCTTTAAATGAAATTATATTTGTGCATTTTTAGATGTTCGATCGCCATTATCATGGGCGCGTACTTTTCCGGTAACCGATCCAGCTATCATCTATTTGAAAACCGGTGCCTTCCAACTTCTGAGCGGTGTCTATGAGTTGAGTAAAGTAACACCCCATAGAATCACACAGTTCTCAATCATCGCGCGATTTTTCGGGTTGTTCCGCGTCCTTGTCGTCAAAAAGTTTCTGAACCTGAGTCCATTGTCCATTGTCGATGTAGCGTCTTTCACATGCACAAAAAATATAAAAAATTCACTGCCATTTTGAGTCCTGAGATATTCTGAACTGCGTAATACGCACAACAAACTGTGGTTACAATTTGAAAGTTGAAAAAATCCCGAATAAACGCATTAACTTCGTTTCTGGGCCCATAACCTATTGAGAAGAGAAGGATCCGGAAGTAAAACAACTACGCTTGTTTGCTATTCGATTTCGACTACTCTTCATTTCAGGAAACTGGAAGTCTACAACAATTCAGTACTGAAAATCATTGATGTCAGAAACTAGGTTAGGTTAGGTCCAAAGTGAGTGGGTCTATTCAACCCTCCAGCGGGGCAGGCATAAAGTATATGCTCTGTTAATGAGGTAGTCGGATAGTCAAGTTGCAAGATTCCCACCTGGATTCCCACGACGACCTTCCCATATGAAGGTTTTTGCACGTCAGCTACACCTGACGATGCCTTAGATTTAGCCGTGCAGGGGTTTTTCGCGTCTGGTTTTGGTGAATCATGACTTGAGCGCAAACGTTTGCTAACCTGCTCATGGGGGTTTGTTCCCCCACCTGAGACAGATTCTGCGTACGCCGCTCAATAATTTGGTGCAAAGCGGTTTTATAAGGTACCCCGCTCTTGAGGAGACGACACAGTCGTTTCTCGGCTGCACCACCAAACCTTTTTTTAAGGTTCCGATGTTGGATCAGGAGTTGGGGAGTTGAGAAGCTCTCGCTCCTATGTCAGAAACTAACAAACACTTTTCTGTGAATCTTCAAAGTACCATGACAAATAATTCAACATGACCTCATTATTCATGTTCGTACCACTTTGGAAAACTTGATGATTCATTCATATTGAATCAAGTCTTCCAGAGGGCTATGAACATGAATGATGAGGTCGTTTTGAATTATTTGCCATCGTACTTTGAAAATTCACAGAAAAGTGTGGAAGTTTAGGTTTAGGTCCAAAACAACAGGTTTTCCTTTCAGAAGGGAAGTGTACTGGGGTGACTTTATGTGCTGTATTATTCCCATTATCCGCTTGCCTATGAAAACTGATGTCATGAAATCTTATAGTTTAGGAGAGAGCATAATGATAAATTTTCAACGGTTTCCCTTGAAAGGGGCCAATAATGTAAAACATGAACGAAAGCATCTTGTATCATACTGATACTAGAGAAACGAATAACAATAACAAGCACTGGCTCATAGTTAAGTTATTCAAAATGAGGAGTTTGCATAAACTACATAAAATGACTGTAAACCTCATAGATTGAAATATTCCACGCAAGCAAGGATCGAGGTAGTTTATTCAGAACTACAGTGGACTTGATTTGGTGTTCGTTGAAACTTCTGAGGTTTCGATGATCGATGCCTTCTTAAAACATCGAGCAACTCGACTCCTACATTACCAGGTAAGATAATCTAGCGCATCAAGGTATTTAAAATGGGCAGCAAGAATTCTATCTTCACATACTGGACCATCATAAATATGTGACGCTTAGAATGAATTGAAAGACTTGATGTGAGGTGCCTGTAATCATAATTTAAAACATAGATGTTGCCTCATAATATGGCAAACCAAACTAATCCTTGATAGCAAACCTCGAGATCATATAGATATGAAGTAAAACTTAAGTTAACAAATCAGATACAGATCCAGAAAACTTTCATTCGTGACTCATTACGTTAACTAGGGACACAATATCATTCATTTCAATCACGAGTCAGTCACTCATAATTATGCAACACGAACTAAATACTTGACCATTCCAAAACACAAAACTTCGATATTCAAGGAATCTCTTAGGTATAACGGCATTATACTTTTTGGGGGTTATTATAGCTTAGATGAGTTCCTGCAAAGGGATATCTTGATATTACTTGTTCTCATATCAACAATAACAACTAATAGTAATACTTCCAGATTGTTGGGAGCATTCTTTGAAATAATAACTTTTGGCCAACTTCATAAGTATTGAAGCGATCGGAGAAAGAGCATGTTTGGTGAATTTGTATGATGAGAACATGAATAATGATTATTCGAATATGTGAATACTGTTTCAATATCACCAACAGTAATGTCCGTTTCAGAAATCTATGTCTGTGGAGGAAGTTGCGATGGGATTTGTCAGAGTTGCGAATGAAGCTATGTGTCGACCGATCAGAGCCCTGACTCAGGCCAAAGGCTATGATACAGCGCGCCATGCATTGGCTTGTTTTGGTGGTGCGGGAGGCCAACATGCTTGTGCTATTGCGAGATCTTTGGGAATGACCACTGTCTTCGTTCATAAATACGCAGGTATAGAGTTGATCCTTTAGATTTATCAATGTGAATTGCATCAAGTTGAATTTAGTTTTCATGAAATCAAAATTCAAGCAAATTAATGTTTTCTTGATCACATTTTATTTGTATCTATCAATCATTATGTCAAAAACTGAAACACACTCTGACACCAAAAAAGAATGATATAATGTAACCAAATATTTTCTAGCTAATACAACTCACAAAAATTTTGACACTACGTAGCCACTTCAAAATTTGAATGTATTACATACGGAGTCATTCAAACTAACGTTGCACACAAGTATTTACCAACACTTGATAACCCCCCAATTGCGCCTGAACAGGAAACATCGGCCAATAAAGAAGAGAAGAAGACTTGATAACTGTTCGATGAGACCGACTCTGTTTCTGGAAAATCAACATTTAATATTTTGGAGACGAAGATATTTTTGAGTTAAATAAATAATCCAAGTGAACACTTGGAACTGAACAAACCAAGAACAAAGCCAGCGACGAGACTTAGGGGGTCAGGTAGATTACGACCCCGTAGTCATGTAAAGCAACTTCAGTTTCGAATGATTTTTGAAAATTGCTTCAAAGCAGAAGCCGAAACGTCGAACAGATTGAAACTACAGATGTGGTTATATATAAATAAATAGATGAGTACTTTTTTTACCCATTTTGTTTCCCATTTTGTGGGAGTTGATATGTGGTTTATGCACGACGGGGCTCTAGTTCATTTTATAGTGTTCTTGCTATAGTTAGCATCTCGACATTACCTATCCTAATCGCTGGATTGGACGTGTAGAACCTCAAAATTGGCCAACTCGCAGCCCTAATATGAATCCTCTAGATTTATATTCATGGGTTCATCTGACGGCTCTTTTAACAGTTGCAAATTCATAAGAAATAATCCAGGTATTTTCGAATAAGTCTGACAATCAATAAGAAATCGATTGTAGTCGTGTGTTTTATCAAAAGTTGAAACATTTTCTCATTCACTTTAAGGTAGGAATCGTTTATTTTTTATTTCACTTTTTTATTTTATGTTGTCCATGAATACTTTCTTAGAATGAGTTGAAGTGACTTCCATGTATTTTCTCTCGGATACAAAGTTGGATATGTAGCAAACACAAGAGACCAAAAAATTGTATTTTCTGTTGCTCTATCTGAAAAAATGTAAAACCACATAAAACAAGGCAATAACTTACTTTTTCATCTCAATATTATTTGTTGTGGAGCCCAGTCAGATGTCACTTGACCTAATAATTTCAATCTAGTAATGACCAAATAAGTTCTTCATTGCTTTGAATAAATGTACCAAATTTCAACCAAATGATATTCTATAAATAAAGTTTTTTGATTTCAACGCCTTGTATTCCGGGCATAAATCCATAGGAACTTTTTTTCATAAAAATCATCTACCGAATCAGTTTTTGAAGTTTTGTACCGTTGTTGGAAAACACCCCGTATATTGATTGAACGTTGTCAAAGATTACATTCTTACTACTTTCAAGTGCGTCCAATATATTTCCCATACTCCATCTCTCATTTTTGAAATTCTGAAACTGAAATTGCCGTCAGTTTGAAAATTTTTAGTCGCAGAAATTGTACTACAAAACTGTATCGGCTCTAAATAATTTTCAAAATGCAAGGGGATATCATGAAATTGATTTAATTTTTTATCGGTCGGTAGCCGGGCGGTTCGACGTGGGTGCTTTGTTCACTCAGTCAATCGGTCGATGTGTGAGTCGAATGTTCAAGCCCTAGGCTGAACGTTCGATTTAACTTGCTATCGTCCAACCCGTGTTAGGAATTACACGTTTAAAGGTGAGACCTCGTTAGTCCTTAGCTCACACAAGTTTCGACTTTTGAGGGTTGTCGTTCGTAGGGGTGCGATGGCTGGTTAACGGAAAAATATATTTCAAACATCTAAATCACCATTGCCTTCGTTTTTCAATTGTCAATTTTTTCTGTTGAATGCGAATGAAACTTATCAAATGTTTTATTATAATATTTGAATATAATGGTATAATAATATTTTTTCAGGAATTCTCTCAGCATACGGAATGGCTTTAGCGGATGTTGTCCACGAATCTCAGGAACCTTGCGCTAAAGCCTACCTACTAGAAAACTTCTCCTATTTCAACGAACGTTTGTCGGAACTTAAAGAACAATGCAAGAGCGAACTGAAGAAACAAGGCTTTCCTGAAACACATATTGTTTTGGAGCCGTATCTGCATATGCGATATGATGGGACAGACTGCGCGTTGATGTGTGGACCAACATATTCTGGGGAGATCAGCCCTACTCACGGAGACTTTATGAAAACATTTGTTGATCGTTACAAATCCGAATTTGGTTTCGTCATTCAGAAGAGAAACGTTATAGTAGATGATATTAGGGTGAGTATTCTCGAGAGTTGTATTTGTTAATGATGCAATTTTATGTGAAAGTGATGAAAAGCAGTTTATTCTGTCGAAAGCAAAACAAAAAGAGTTCACTCAATATTTTTTTCCTTGTGAGGTCACGTCATGCAGAATAACCTGACATAAAAAAGATTGATATTCAGTTTACTGTACTCAAAATAACTGCAAAATAAAAACGTTAGTCATTATATTCATTGATCAAACGTTCACTGCCTCAGTGGCTTGAACATTTTTAATGTTGGGACAGAATGATGCAAATTGAGGTTACATTTTAAGGTCTATACATATACGTAACCCGTTCGAAAATATCCAGATTGTATCATTCGCCGTTTAATCAATATCTCATCAAATATCAAATCTATATCCATAAAACTGCTTCAACAACAACTTTGAAACCATTAATAAAATTTTGTGTCCGAATCAGAAACAAGTTCTAGTGTTGTTTTTGAATGTGATAAAGAAAGCGACTTTTGGCTCAAAATCCCATGTTTTTCCTTACAGAGCTGAACTTTTTGCAGTTTTCTAGACAACCGATCGGAACATTAGGGAACACCCAACTTGAGGTAGGTGTGTTTCGGAGAGTGGGAGAGAGAAACGTGTGATGTAATCGATGCAGGATGGAATAAATATCGGATATATTCAAAGAGCGTAGCCCCTCTTGGGACTTCGCCTCACCCCTGAGCCCTCTTGTCACGTACCAGTCACGTGGCCATCGGCAGCTGAGGGAAATTAGATAAAAAAATTATCGGTATGAGAATCGAACCCAGATTGTCGACGTGGTGGGCTCTGTACTAAGCCTCGACACCAACGTGGGATACTATCCGAAATAGAATCAGGCTCTCGAAAAGGGTCTAGCTATACCACAGATTTCCTTCAAATGGTCGATGACATAATCAGATCGAGAGATCGTGGTATGTGTACACTGTTGGTGCTCTTGGTCCTCAGTCGTGCATTTGACACTTTCAATTATCAATTAATTTTGGCTAATCTGCAGTACTGAGACTTATCAGCAGCAGCAATTGAGTTATTTGAGGCATATTTACTTGGACGGAAACAAAAGGTGTATATTGACAGGTGTATGTCAGTTCAACAAATCTAAACCACAAATCCGGTGTTCCACAAGGCTCTATATTTGGACCACTTTTTTTTTCTTTTTCTGAAATCACTTGAACATTGCACTGCTCAGTGCTATGCCGACGATACATAGATTTATAATAGATTTTATCAAGGGGATGTGGCAACGGCCTGTAATTTCATCATTGTCTGCAGATACATTCTAGCAAATCTAACATAATGTTATTTGCCCCAAAAAGCAACTTACCGTTTTTTCGAAATATCAAAATGACTATTAATAGCGACCAATTAGCTCTTGTAGAGCACAAAAAAATTTTTGGTGTGGAGACTGTAATTTGAGTTTCGAGAAACACATAAAAAACTTGTTCAGAGATCTTATTCATCCCTGGAAATATTATACGGAGCCAGGTATTTGTTCCACGACGGATATAAAACTATTTCGGACAGAGAAACTTTTTCTGGAGGGTCCATCCAACTCTCTCTCCCACTCGTTGAGCTTATGGATAAAATAAATGGCGATATCTCCGTAGTCATTAGAGATAACACCATCAAACCTGGTATTGTTGAATTCCTCACGATCTTCTCTAACCGTTCTTGTGATAATATATAGGATGTCCCATTTGAAAATCAAAAATTGTTGTCATCTCCGTAAAAGCCGGAAGTTGAATTCGTTTGACAAATATGTCAAAAAGTGCCGCCTAGAGACCTTTTTCAATGTTCCAAGTTTCAGAAATATCGCTGTGTCACACACGGTATATGGTGTTCGTAGACGCCAAATAATTTCGAATAAAATATCAGTGTTGGAGGGTTGAATATGGAGAAGAGGAAACTTTTTCATGCTGATTGTTTGTTCTACAAAGATATAATTACCAAAAAACTTTCCTGTTTGAATCCTCCACAAAAATGTTCACCAAAGAAGATGTGTGCTGCTTTTTTCCACCTCATTCTCCATTGTTGTGATATCATTATTGCTTATACTATTTTGAACTGCTCTTCTTGTTGAATAAAGCAGGGATATTGTAGTATTGAATATAACTAATAAGATTTTATTTGAATGTTTTTTTACAAAATTGTGCATGGAACCGCGACAAGCTTTTTTTACAATATGAGGAGAAGCTATTATATAGTGAAACATGTAGACAAGCGATGAGGTTTGTATTTTGTAAAAATTTGACAATAAAGTGTTCAATATTTTTATTGATTTTCAGTAAGAGTTACGAAACCGATATGTTATGTATACATTATAGATTAACCAAGTTGAATGTGACGTTTATTTTTATATATTGGTATTCGTCATAACAATATCGAAAGGAACATTTATGTTTTTTAAGGTGAGGGGTATCGGAAAAAGTGATCTGGAGGAAGAAGATCTAATAGCAACCTCAACTTCTTTTCCCATTCCTGAATCTACCAAAAAAGTATATTTCGAAGGAGGATACCAAGATACAAATATTTATCTTTTGAAAAGCCTACACGCACATCAAGAACTGAAGGGGCCGGCCATCATCATGGACCAATTGAGCACGATTTTAGTAGAACCCGATTGTACTGCTGTGATTACGAAATACGGAGACATCAGAATAAATATTGGTTCGGGAAAAGTCAAGGAAATCGGTCCAGATCTGGATTCTATTCAATTGAGCATATTCAGTCATAGGTTTATGAGTATTGCTGAGCAGATGGGAAGGTAACTGAAAATCATCAGCACTTTTATCGCTTCAATTAAAATGACAAGTAATTCAAATTTCGTTTTCCATTGAGAATATATTCACTTATTCTGTAAGTGTGTATTGAACTTTAACCGAAGAGGGAATATTTTCTAAGACAGATCATCATTTTTCAGACTTTCTATTTCTCCATCATTATACAGAAAGTGAGAATCGTCCGAAAAAAGGAAGTAATTAAATACACCAATGAAATCTTTTCACAAAGATATTTAGATCATGCACTGGAGTAGCTCTCAGATGAAAACTGAAAAAAATTATATAAAAAACATCAAAACATTTTTTTATAATGTATGATATTCGTTTTTAGATGTAATATACATTTTTTCATGATGGACATATCTAATAAAACATTCAACTTCATAAATATGCCACATATTGAATCATTTTCTTCAAGCTGATGAAAATACGTATCTTCTCAATCAACGAGAATCTATATTTCTGCTGATGAATCAAAAACGAAGGAAACATACTATTATAGGGACAAAGAAGAAAGCTTTTTGATTTTATACTTTACCATACTTATACAGAAAATGTGGAAGTACCGTGCTTAGGCTTTGCCAAACAAAAATTGAACACCTGGATGGCAAGAAGATTTATGGGCTTCTGGCAGAATTTTCTAGCATTGGCTCACTCTAAGGCGTTTATATACCCTTCGAAGCTTGATACCAAATAGTTGTTGGACTAAAGTAGGGATGAACTACGATGTCTGACAGGCCTTCTTACAGGTCACTGTCATTTAAATCATCATATTCATCATATGCAGAGACTCGGACTGTCGGAAGACAGTGTGTATCGCCTCTGTTTGAAAAACAATGAAATAACAGAGCACATACTTTGTGCCTGCCCCGCTGGTGACCAAATCAGGTTTTTAGAGTTCGGCAGAGCCGTACTCCTACCATCTCGCTCACTATATAAACTAATCGGCATCGTTAAGAAGCTGGGTTCATTTGGTCGAGTGTAAATAGGTGTGAACCACAATAAACCCTTGCGGGTTGCGGTGGAGGATCGAATAGACCCACTCACTTTGGACCTAACCTAACCTAACCGTGGTTAGTTCAGAATGAACTCTTCACAAAGATGTGTAGATGACGTAAAGAAGTTATTTCCATATACAAACCGAGAGAAAAAACCCTCCCGAAATAACTACTTTGACATGAACATCGAATTACAAAAATATCAATTTTTTCCATTGAGTTTGTAATGCAAACATCAGTTATGGAATTGAAACAGTTATCGTTAAAAAAACGCTATACAATGTAATATATGGAAGAGTTTGATATAAAATTTTATTCACATGGAAATCTACCATCCTTAAGTGATGCTTATCGAAGATTCGGGTCGAAAACAATTTTCTTCAACGCCTCGTCAGCCACCTATTTGAACTTTTGAAAACGAAAACAAACGCACATTTTCTGCATAAAAATGAAAAAGTTGAAAGAAAAAAAGCTTTTAACGAAAAACTAATCTCTCTTGAGAATATTCTCCTTTAAATTCATTGCTATATTTCGCAAATCTTCAAAGGTTCCAAAAAGCAAAAAACTGAATTATTCAAAACACCCCCTATCCTTGATAGAAAACTATTTTCTGAACACTAGATAATTTGAGGAAGTAATGCGAGACTTCAATTCTCAGAATTCTCCAGCGTACTTCAATATCAACCAACATCAAGGAACGTCTCGATTTTTCATGCGCCCTCTTCGGTGCAGATGGCGGACTAGTTTCTAACGCACCTCATATTCCTGTCCATTTGGGAGCTATGCAGGAAGCCGTGCAGTACCAAATGAAGACTAGAAAAACTTTCCACGAGGGAGATGTCATACTTTCCAATCACCCTGGCGCTGGTGGATCACATTTGCCAGATTTCACCGTTATCACTCCAGTTTTCTACAAGTAAGTTGATAACAGTTATTTCTGAGTACTGTAAAATTGTTTTTTTCAAATGAGCTCTATGAATTGAATATATTTTCAATGTAGTCTTCTATTTACGTGTTAGGAATCGGACGTTAACAAGTAAGATCTCGTTAATCTTTGGCTCGCACTCGTTTCGAATTCTGAGGGTTGTCGTTCGTATGGGGACGACAACTTGTTAACGGAAAAACATATTTTTCAAAAACAGATTCGGGCTCGGATCATCAATCTAGGCAGGAGAATATTATGCGCCCTCTTCAAAAAATCTGGTTTGTCTGCATGCAGTCCGTAACATTTTTTAGATATATTTTTCCACCGAAAAAAAAAAGATTTCGACATTATATTCTCATCACTTTTTGGTGATCAAAGAAATCTCCCCAAATCACACATATCTCCTAATTGAATGAATATGAACCAAAAAATGCATGGGATGGATGTCGAAGGATTTTCATATAGAAAAAGTTTTCTGGCTGTCTATCAAAAAGTTGATAAATGAAAAAATTGAAAATGAATGAATGAAATGTTGATGTATTTCATCAAGTATCGGCCATTTTCAATTGGGTAAGTGTGTTATGTTGTCAAAGATGTCAAACAAAGTCAAGGACAGGGACATTAAGGAAGAGGTGTAGATACGCTTGAGAAAGTTTATGTTGAACGATTAAAATTACAGAAACAAAAGGAATAACACCAAAATAAAAAAAAAATCACACCAAGCTAATGCGCGACGCTTCAATAATTGTAAGTATCCACAATCATTTTCTGCTGATAATTTTTCACATTACTGACGTCTTTTATTCATTTAATTCATTTAATAATTGTTCATTGGTTGTAAGTTGATGATTGAACGTTGAAACGAAGAAGCTATATTTTCAACTGGTGAGCTAACATACTTACAGATATTCAAATTTGTTTGTAACATGATGATAAATGATATATTTTGTCGATTCTTTCAGTTACAGTGTGTCATAATCAGTTTCTAAGCAGGCTTATAGAATGAATGTTTTCAAATTTGACAATTCTGGTTAACAAATTCTTTAAATATATGCCATACTCAATAACTAACAGATTTATAACACTAAAAATATAGACCTTGCAATACTTGCACGGATATTTTAATAAAATTATCGATAAAACTTCAGTCCCAACTAATGCACATATTTCTCTTTCGAAATATTTGACTTCTTCAGGACACTCCGCCATAACTTACCTAGACAAATCCACATTCACCTAGACTCGAAATATACCTCAGTAATTCATTTACAACCTATTGTCTGTGTCTTTGACAATCGGCAACCTGCGGCTTTAACCACCGACTCACACATCGGTCGATTGACTGAGCGAACAAAGCACCCACGTCGAACCGCCCGGCTACCGACCCACCGGTCGGTTGAATGTATCATATCTCAAAAGTGAAGTTTAAACCTAATGGCTGATTCATAAACTGGATTATTAATATTTTACCACTACGCTTGACTGAAATTAGTTAAAATACTAACCCAGAACGGTATCATCCAAATATTATTATGTATTCAACTTCATACGATTGATGAAATGAACTGAAGATTCATTGTAGATTATTATTTTTTTAATCCATTTTGTGGAAACGTGAAAATAATCAATCATCACATTCATCTCAATATGTAAATAGGACTCGTTTTTTTTACAAACACAACGGTCCTTCTGAAACATCTCATAGTATGCGCTGATGCCGCCAGTATTCTATGCAAGCAAATTTTATAATTGGGTTTCTGTGTTACTCGATTAATCAGAGGACATGAATATTTTCATTTTCAATATCCCCTTTTATTTTTTCTTCATTTCACTTGGTACCTGTTAGGGAGTAACTAAATAAGTGTAAAATATTTAAGAAGTCTATTTTTCGGACAAGGAAAGATCATGGCTAACACCGCACCACAGTAAGCCCCCTCACTTGTATGGTCTACCCAAAATCTACAAGAAGGACGTTCCGCTTAGACCGATCATCAGCTCCAGAGATTCGGCTACTCAAAACTTGTCTAGATTTTTACTTCCCTTAATACAACCATTACAAGGGAT